GCCTGACATCTTTTGAACCCCATCAGATCCTGAATTAAATCAGACGAGTGCCAGTATCTTTGGGACCAATTTTATGGAATGCGTCCCCCCGATCGGACATATACTTTAGTAATGTGAACTTACTTCAATTTTCACATCCGACGTGAATGTAACTGGGTGTATTTAGAGATGTTGGCGGAATTAAGCTGAGCTGAAGAGTCTACTACCAAGACTGAGGGGAGGAAATATGACTCCAACTTCATCCAGTAAAAACGGTCACAGATTTCTCGATTAAGGTCAAAACTGTCTTGGACCATAAGCTTTATATTTGCAACGTCTTGATGGTCAAAATGATGTATCGGACACTTATGGGAGTGGTCACAAACTTCAAAAACTTTAAATATTCAAAAAAATATGTTCCGTGAAGCGAGAGAGCTGCTCTCACCTGCTCTTTTTCAGACCTTTTCTTTTTCAGACCTGCACTTTTTCATTCCTTGTCGAATCACCGAGTTCGGACGAAGGCTACTCCTCTGTTTGGTTATTGTTGGGTAAATTGTATCCGTAAGATAGATTTACATATGGGTGGACATGGCTGACTGACAATGGAGGTCTCCCAATGTATGCTCACAGATTTTGACTAAACTAGTGTCAATCGACCAAAAATTTAATTACTATGAAATTTGCAAAAAAGCACGACCTGCGAATGCTAAATTTTGGCGGAGATATTTGCATCTGACGAGGAGAAAGCGCACAGCATATTTGGAAAGTATAAAATTTTCAACTTTTGTGCGCGTTTTTTTCGATCTCCGCCAAACCTGTGCATTGGGAGATCATGTTTTTTTTACAAATTTCGTATTAATTAAATTTGTGATCGATTTCCACCAATTTGCTCAAAATCGGATCGCATACGCTGGTCGACCTCCATTCGCTGAGTTACATACATGACAAATGAGGCAGAATAATTGGATGGAATTACGCGGAATGTGAAATTTCCATTAAAATCTGGTCCGGCCCGATTACTTTACTTACTCTGTATTGTATTATATTGTAAATACGTATGGTAATGACTGTGCGATAATTAACCTTGTAAAAACCATATTATACTTTTCCCAAGGTGAAGGTTAGTTAGCTAGCTGGTTGGTCTGGGACATTGTGTCGTAGTGCATTGTGTAATATGTATGTAGCCCCTGTTGCCCATTTGTCTAGGTTTTGTATAGGAAAACTTGGTGGTCATGTTATATATTTTCTGCTACGATATGATATGGTCATTCCCCCCGTGGTAAAATTATGTTGGTGATGACGATGGCCGCGGCGATTTGCATATTATGCTCTTAACTTTATCTGGAGGTCTGGTAGTCGAAGTGGTTGGTTCCTTGGACATTTTCTGTGGAAAAATGTAACGGAATATTGCATGAGAGCCGTACGTCCGTGCATGACGAAGAAGCCCACGAGATATTTGCATACGGGGAGAAACGCACGGGGAGAAAGTGGAGTAAAAGTTGATTGGTGTGTGTAAAAGTGTGGCAAAGCTGGTGGTTCTGCATGTATGTATGGGGCTGCTGAGCTGCTGAGGAGATGCCGCATTGGCCTTGAGTAAGTAGCAGAAGCAGGAGAGAGACCCGATACTCTGTCTGTACGTATGTATGTAGAGAAAGACCCGTTGGGTTTCGTGGGTCTGCTGAGTCTTCCGTCTCCTATTTACAATCCGACGAAGGAACGAGTTTAATGTGTTGCTGCAACACTGTGACACAAAATGCATACTTTCTGCACAAAATGAAGCACACACCTTGCTCAGAGATGCACCAGAAATCCGCGTCGTCGTGGTCGTAATTACATGCATGAAGCAAAAGGCTAGATTAAAATTAAAACTCTACGATGTTATAAACTTGGTAGTCAGATATGGTAGTAACTTACTATCGGATGGTACTAATTTGTTCATAGTGGTAAATTTTTCATTACCACAACATTACTAAAAGGTAATGCCCGTTATTACCAGTGCGGGAAGAGTCATATCTGTAATCCAATCGGTAATGATTTAATGTCTGTTTTCTAATTATGTGTACATAATTCGCATTATCGTGGTTTGGTCGTTGAGAAGATTTTGACAAAATTTTGGAGACAATATTTCCTCTTTTTCTAGTCATGTCTTGATGCTGAATGGCAGATAGCGTTTGAAATAGTGGCAAAATAAAAAATTTCCTCTAAAACTTCAGATTCATCTAGATTTTCTTGACCTTGTCGAATTTCCTCTCAAATCCATCCATCACCCCAATCTCAATTTAATCCACTTATTTATTTCCCGTATTATTAGGGATCATTTTATCATTACCTTTAACCCGATGAGGACCCAGATCAAAGGGAAAGTGGGAGATGATCCCCGAGAGCAGAAATGAGTTAATGGGTCTCATCTCCGACTATACTTTCTCATCCGAGCAGCCCACTACTCCTGAGTATCGTATCGTAGCAGCAGCTTAGTTGGCATGTCAAGTGGCAATATTACAGACAATTATCCTCCTCCAACAACTACCATCACCTTTCCTCTCAACATGGCATCATCATCATCATCATCATCCTGGTGGGCAACAAGTAGGAGGAGGAGGATCTCTCTTTCCCTGCCACCAAACCAAACCACACACAACTTCTTGTTCGCATCCCCTCCTAATTAATTCAATTGATGATCACTCTCGGATTTTGCATACATACTTTCACCCTCACCAACCACCACGTTGTCGCTCAATCCTACAGTCGTCGGTGACAGAGTGAAAGCAAGGACGGGACATCCTCACTCACTCACTCATTGGACGGACGGACAGCCAGACAGAGTGGTGACAGTTGTTGACACAGACAGCGAAGGAGGAACGGGTGGTTCTCTTCTCTTTTTTTGACACGAGCGATACCTCCTTTGTCTCCAAACATGTCAAATTATATTCACCTCGGCTCTCTCGAAACTGTCCATCCATTCCGAAATGATGGACTTGCACGATTGTGTGTAATTTGGACTAAACAATTAGCGACGGGATGACAAATGTGTAATTAACGTTGTTCTAATGAAAGTAGGATATGTGGCGTTTTTGTGTGTATCATTGTCAGCGGAAGTAGACAGGGGGACATTTTCCCCTACAAATTCGGCAAACTCGCATCTAGATAAGTTTCTCCTCCTCCAATGCTAATGTCCCCACATGTCCCCCGCCCCAACTTCCGCCGCCTCTGAACGTATGATTCTGTTCGAGTTTGCAGGATCTGTATAATGGGAGTGTATAGTAATGCATCCCTTGAGATGGACTCCACCCTGTCCTCATTAACCAGAGATCGACTATCTGCCACACGGGCAGGCAGGCCAACAAACAAACCACCTCGTCCGTCCGTCCGTCTCCCCCTTTTTAGCCCAACAAGGTCGCGTCCTCTGGCCCAAATCCACCTTTCTGCTGTAGATGGAAAGCCAGATAGTGGTCCTGTTTGGGTGGTGTGTGTATATTCGTTTGGCAGTGAAGCGATCGAGGCTGTTGGATAGAATAATTGGCAGGTTTAGGAGAGAGACTGGCACACACGCAGCCGACCAGCCAACCAGCCAAAAGTATAAACCGTTACGTTTTAAGAAAAGAATTGCATGGTTGGCCTACTTGTGGAAATAATTTTGCAGAATTCTTAATATTTAAGGAGCAGGGGAGGTGGTTTGGTTGGTAGGTTCGGAGGTGGATTGGATGCATGCATACGTAGGATAGAATCAGAAGCACATAACATAATACAACTTTCTTCTTCTCTCCTCCTTCGTCCGTCTCCATGTCTCGACGGAATCTTTTTGATTCATTGGGTATACGTTTTTGGGATCAGATCTGCTTCCGGTTCTTCCGTATCGCTCGCTACCGTATCTCTCCATCCATCCGCCTATCCCTTCCACCCTTGGTCGTGATGCAGCCCTTATCTCGTATCTCTCTCGGAGTTTGTCAACCCACAACTTTTTTTCGCCTTTTCTCTCTCTCTCCTACTGCTTCTGGTGGTGCATACAATTCCTTCTTCTCGCTAGTTTCATTACCCTTTGGCCTTTGCCCCTTGCATGCAGTGGTGTAGCTGAGTCCTTACGTATGTTACGTATGGGAATAAGGAGGAGGAGGAGGACTGTTTGTTGGTGCAGATTTAGTGTGGAGAAAGTAGCATGAAATATTTTGCATATTATTGTTGTTGCGTGCATGTCTTGGGTTATTGGGGACCAAAGAGAGGCAAAAGCTGCTGCATGTTGTGTTATGTTAGGAATTCTGTTGTGATGCTGCAGTCAAACCAAACCACACCAAACCACCACCACCACCAAACACCGTAATCGGTCTGCTTTCTCTCCAAGAGAGAGAGAGAGCACATGGGTTACTACTCACTCACTCCAGCCAGCAAGGCAAACCAAACCACCCATGCAGCAAGTTGTGCTATGTATGAAGCACGCTCTGTTAGGTAGATTACAACTATTGAGCAAAACGTCCATACATACAAATTAGCTGGAAATGGGACATATTTGTTCAGACGGGTGAGTGAGTGAGTATGTAGCAATAAATGTGGAGAGAAAGTTGACACGATTTTTTAATGCGGATATATTGTGGAGAAAGTACATGTGAGAACATCAGTCATGCATGGGGAAAATGTGTCTCTTTCTCTCTCTCTCTGTCTGTAGTAAGTTAGGTGGGGCGGAGGCTGAGAGTTTGCCGGTATTTGGGGGTCCTGCAGGGAGATTTGGGGGGCAAGGGGAGGGATGGATAAATCTGGGTGGGGACTTCCGGGTGGGTGTGGTATCTGGTTGGTGGGGGTTGCTGGGTGTGGATGGCCCCTCTCTGGTACATGAATGCAGGAGTGTCTCTCTCACTTTCTCCCCGTTTCGGGCCTTTCCGACCCCGTCCTCGGGAGTCGTCTTATACTGCATGTTGTGGAAAGTGGTGGTGGTGGTGAAGGAGAGAAAGTGGGTTGGTTGGCAACTTTCTACACACTGCTTGCGAGCGAGCCAGGTTATGTGTTAGGTTGGGCCGTATATTGGATTGGATTGGATTTTGTACTGCGGGGGAAAGTGTGACTTGGGTGGTTTGGCTGGCAAAGTTATCGAGCTGGTTTTGCTGCTGCTTCTTTTGCTGGTCTACTACTTGTACTACTATTACTCCTCTGCTGGTGCTGGTGTTGGTGGAAACTGGGTATGGTTGGCTCTCATTCCTTTTCTACTTTGCTGCATCCTGTCTGCCACCGCCGCACTGCAATCCCAAAATGGCGAAGTGGAGACTGTGCCCCTCACTCCATGGTGTGGCTGCTGGGCTGACCTCGACCTGCTGAGTGCAACCTCATGGGGTAGACCCACCCCGAATCTGTGGGTGTGCCCCCTCACCAACCAACCAACCAACCAAGACCCTCATCTAAAAACTCTCAACTGCAGCATCATCATCATCATCTCCAAAGTCTCTGCTACTACTATAACGTCTCTATACGACGTCGACTACTTTCTCCACTTTCTCCCAGGCAATTCTTCACCCCCAATTTCTCCTCCTCCTCCTCCGCGGTCCGCCGTCAGTCAGTCGCAAGTGCGGTGGGTGGACTGGACGACCGACGCGACTGGCCTTGACACACCCCCAAAAAAAGCTCGTCGTCGTCGTCGTTCATACTTCTTAATCTCTCAGCTCAATCTCCGCGCGCATCAGCATCCATCACCACAGCCACACCCACCCACCAGCTCTACGCCCCACCCACCAACTAACAAACTTTAAGTCCCACGAGAAAAAAAATAAGGAGAGAATAAACTCTAAGTCAGCTTCACCTTTTCAAAAAATTGTCGTATTCTCATAAAATTGCTCAGTTGTCAACACTGCGTCCCGTGGTGACATTCAGTGATCGACTCATCATTCATACATACATAAGGAAAAATAATAACAATAAGATACTGCTTCTCTCCACGCCGCGCATCACATCACCACAGCTTTTCGTCCATTATTAATTACAGTTCTCTTGCAAATAACGGAAGGAAACTATAAGTACTAAAAAAATTACTTAATTGTTATCATTATTATTGTTATTAAAGCTGCTGTCCACAAAAACGCGTGACGACAAGTAACCAGACGAGGACGACTCATCCATAAAAAAATATAAATTCAGCAGCTTTACACGAAATTGGTTGAGTAAATTAAAAATATTATCCGCCCGCTCGCTCGCTCTCATCCGGAAAAATAGAATAATAAATAAATAAAATACCTCCAGCAGCAAGAAAAAAGAAAAAGCAACAGCAATTTATATTACCCAAAATAAGCTTACAGTAATAAAATAATCTAATACCAGCCGCCAACACCTTCTGCATCCATTGTGTGATTTCTTCCGTTTTCTTGTATAATCGCCTAAAAAAGAAAGAAAGTAAAGTCTAGACTACAATTTATTACCTGCTCTGCTACCGAATCCGGAAGGGAAGGAAGAGAGAGAAAAGTGTACAAAAAATAATTAGTGAGTTTGCAAAGGGAGAGAAAGAAAGCTTGTTGTTCGCGTCTTCTTCTTCTTCTTCTTCTACTCGGTCCTCTTGTTGCCTTGCCTTTTCCGATTTCTTTTTCACCACCACAACCAATTTTAAGGGACGGTGTCTTTATAAACGATTATTATTATTGGTTATTACATACCTCTCGTAAATACGCTATTGCTACTACTCGTTCGTGGTTGATGAGTTATTAAATAATTGAGATATACAAAAGAGAAACAATTGTAAAATGACGTGTAGAACATGACGAGATAAAAAAACCGCTTGTACTGCCTGTGGTGTAGTCATAAGTAAGTAAGGAAGAGAGGAGAGGGTGACGACAAAAAGCAGTGATTACTCACACACGCTTTTTTTGCGGAGAGCGACTCACTCACTCACTCAAGGAAATACCCACCACTCGAGATATTCGGATTATGGGTGGATCTCCTGATGGAGGAGAAAGTTGACGAATCTCATTCATTGTGATAGCTAAAAGAAGACATAAAAGTAACCAAACCAAGTAGATCGGGAAGATACATGGGAACACACAAAATTCTGCTGCTACGACGGCCGCCCCCACTTTTGTACGAAACGAGTAAATGCCGGTATCCATCTCATGAACAATTATTCATTACGATGAGGTTGCCAATAAAGGTTGGATATGATGACGATCAGGAAGCGTTGACGGCAAGGGAGGCGTGCATGTAAAAAAAAACTCTTGAAATATGGGGACTGATCCATCTCCGGGTAGTAGTGTTGTTCTTTCTCCTTGTGAAGTGCTATTGTTCTCATTGTCCGCGAGGTTATTAAAATTGTTGCCAGGCTGGCCTGGAGAAAAGCTATCCGAGAAGCGGGGCTGGGCTGGGTCAGAGTCGTGGTCATCATCAGGTCATCCTTCTTCTGTCGAGTGGTGTCGTTGTCGTCCATTGTTGCGTAATAATAATACTAATAATTTCACGTCTTGTTCTTCTTCTGGGGGTGACTACAATTATTACTCGCTGAGACTGAAATGCCCACCCTAGCCATGCCTTGGATATTCCCATCCAGGTAACATTCTTACACAGAAACGGACTCGAAACACAAACAGACAAAAAAAGTATATGTATAATTTCCGAAAAAAGGGAAAAAGTACAAGTGAAAGTGGTTCTTCGTGAGTGGAGAGGAAAGTAGCAGCAGCATCAGCAGTCGCGCATTTCCAGCTCCTCCAGTAGTGAATTCAGTGCCCGATGTTAAATTGAGATGAGTACGAGACACCGGGTGCCGCTGTGGACAGCAGCCAAGGCCGGGAGGGAGGAGTCATAACCTTCGCCTCGTCTTGGAGAATGCCGGGAGAGCAACAAGACGCTGCATCGCGGAACGTGGGATCCTCTTCTTCTTCATCAGCATCGCAGCAACAACCTCTCATCGCCAACGCCAACAAACCAACACCGACGCCACTTTTACCACCCGGTCAACAACAGCCACAGCAGACAGCCACACCACCACCGAAGCAGACTTGCTCCTCCTCCACGACTCCAGACCACCAGCAAGGAACACAGAAAAGCTCACCTGCCGCATTCGCCTCGTCTTCTTCTGCTCAAAGTTTACCACCTTCACCACCTCAGCATCCGCCACCCCCACTCACACCTCCGCCCAGTCGAACCACACCCTCATCGTCCTCACAACATCCGCACCATCATCATCCACATCATCATCACCACCATCATCCGCATCACCACTCCTCTTCCGGGCATCAGCTCAGGAGAAGCAGTCGGAGCAATGGGAGTGGTGGGGGTAGTGGTGTGGGGGGCGGGGTGGGACGAAGCTGCTCTTCACACTCGTCCTCGCCTTCCTCCTCGGACGAAGAGGAGGACAGATCCAAGCTTGAGTTGGAGTGCACATTTGCAGGACTGGAGGAGTCTGGGGAGTTGGAGTTGGAGGAGGAGGAGCCCAACGGGGGCGTGGAAGAGCCCGGTGGTGAGGACGACGACGACGATGACCACCACGGAGATGCCGACATCACCCAACCATCCTCCCCATCAAGGGGACAACAACACCTGCATCATCACCAACACCTCCACCATCCTCCTCACTCTCTCCCACTTGTTGGGAGTGGTGGTGGTGGGAGCGGTGGGAGTGGAGGCAGTGGGGGGAGCAAGGGTAACAAACGGAGGCGCAGTGGTGGTGGTGGCGGCGGACTGGCATCGTCTGCATCATCATCCTCCTCTTCCTTGGGGGGTGGTGGTGGTGGTCCTGCTGGTGGTCGTGGCGGTGTTGGCGGGCGTAGTGGTGGAGGAGGGGAGTCCTCGAATAACAGTGTTGTTGGTGGTGGGGGCGCGGCAGGAGGAGGTGAGATTGAACTTGGGAGTCCCGTTCCCCCCGGCGGGGGAGTGGAAGGGGGCGATGGGGAAGGCGCTCCAGAGTTTACCGAGGTGATCGTGCCCATCCAGACGGTGGCACAGCAGTGTTTGTTCTACATCACGGCCTTCTTCATCCTGCTGGCCGTGTTCAGCCTCTTTGCATTCCTCTTCCTCGTGCCTTTCGTCATCGACCCGGCCTTCACCACCATTTTTATGGAGTTTGATCCCGTCCCCGCATTTTGCCACACTGTCGAATCCATTCAGCGGTCCGGCTCATCCAACTGCAACTGGTCGTCTTGTCGGGAGGGGTGCACGCGAGAAATCTTCAACTGCACCCAGATCAAGGTCAACTATCGACACGCATCATCCTCCTCTTCCTCCTCCGCTGATCACAGAAACTCTAAACAGTCTTATTCACCCAGTGCTTCTTCTTCTTCTACTTCTTCTCAATCTCATTATTCTTCGGCGTCCTTGTCGAGTGGGAGTAGTTCCAGTCTTAGTTCTAGTACTTCGAGCAGTGACAAGATGAGTGGTAGTGGTGGTGGTGGTGGCAAGAAGCGGACCAAGGGGAGTGGTGGTGGTGGGGGCAAGAGTAGTAGTGAAGTGGGCGGTGGAGTAGTGACTAATCGCGTGTACGACCCGTCCTGGGACTTTACCGGTGCTCATCTCTTTCCGAACGTGAAGGGCTGCGGCTACCCGCCCGTCGTCGTCTGCTCAACATTCTTTGAGCAGTACGGCACGAAGGGGACCAACTTCTCGTGCTTCTACTCTCGTGTCGACCCCACCATGGTAAAAATGAATTGGCTTAATTGGGATACTAATTTTGATAACTAGGTTTCTTACGGCAAGAAATTCTTACAAAGAATAACGTGAAACACGTGAATTGTCATAAATATGAGAAAAGGTTTTTATTCAATCCATCAAAGGTTAAATATTACGTAAGCAGGTTTATATACGATTCAATATTCAATTGTGTAGCTCATTATAAAAATTCTAACCCGCATTTGGAGTTTACTTTTGCGAAAAAATCGCATAATTATGGATTTACATAATATCATAGGTATATGTTTGAAATCTAAAAGTGCAGAAAATAATAACGAAAAACGGGCTTCCCCTGTAATCCATTAAAGTCGATGTAAAGTTTTGCATTCGTTTTTAAAGGTTAAACCCAAGACATCATTAAAGTTAGTATATAAATTCTTGGTACCAGGAGAAATCGGTTTCCTTTCACTCTTTCCCGTTCTGTTAATTGTAATTTGTAATCTAATTAATTGTAATTAATCAGCACGATTTAACAGTGTGGAAAAATTACTAAAATTATGTAGAATTTTCTGGTCCAGATGGTATTAAGTGTTAGAAAGCAGAGAAAGCTTACATAAAATTGGAAACACACAAACAACACTTTCTTTTTTATGAGAGGAGACAGCAACTTTATTCGTCTTAATACACATACCTGCATACATAAAATATAGTTATCAAAATTAGTAACCCAATTTAAGACACTCGTCGTTAAATCATTAAATAATTCTTATTTTAACTACTTCGTCTGACACATCAGAGTATGGAAATAGTAGGTCGTCAACTTTTTCTGAAACTTTTCCAATTTCAGAATCCGCTATTATCACGAACTGTTCGCGCGACATTTCTCAGTCGATTAATATATTTCTAACAAACTTTCAAAAATATACATAATTCGAGTTTCAACAAGTTTTTAAGTTTTCTCGAAAATGTTTACAATTATTGAAAGTCTGTCCTGAAACGATTCTTCTTTGGTCGTTCATATTTCTTACCCACGCCAAACTCATTCTTAGCAAGCAACGCCTGAATTTTCTCGGCATCATCCTCTATTTTTCCATTCTGGTCCACAGGTGGTCACGGCCTATGACCTCTCTCGCGTCTTCATGGACCTCCTCTACTCCATGGCCATCCCGATCCCATCCTTCATCATCTCCGTCGTCTACCTCATCTACGCCTACTTCCGCATTTACAACACCCCTGCGCCCCGTCGCCCACCAACCGCGGCCGCGCCCCCTGCAAACCTACCAAACTCCACCACCAACAATAACATTGGTGGTGGGGGCGGTGGAGGGGGTGGTTCTCTCAACTCGGCCGACATGACGACCACCATGACGCCGGGGAACATGGCGCCAAAGACGGGCGGGGGGAGCAACAGCAACAAGGGGCGGGTGGTTGAGGGCAGCAATGGGAACCATTCAGGCGGTGGCCTTCTCCCAAACTCGTCCTCGCGCCCACAAATGTTTGAGATGAATGACTTGAACCCAGGCCTTCATTCTGCGGCGGGTGGCGACGCGGATCTCGCCCTTCCTCGGAGGAATAACAGGGCGGCCCCCGAGAGAGGCAGCAGCACCAACCCTCATGCCAAAACTAAGGGGTACGCCGATTCTCCTCTCCTCCTTACTCTAGACTTGGTCAGGAATGAATAATAATGCCGAATTTCTATTAATGTCCCGGTCACGAGTTTGTATGTCGGGTCGTTGTTTTTTGACTATGCTGTTTTGAGATTAACTTGAGGTTGGGATTTTTAAGTCTTCTTCCCTCATAAATAATCATTTTTGGACCATGGCGTACGTTCATGATGATGATGTTGAACAGGTTGGGTGAGTCTACCTAGGTCGTCGATTTTTGTGTTGTACTGCGGCAAAAAAAGATGCATAATTGTAAAATCACGCCTCACTTTCTCTTCATTTTCTTTCTCAACCTTCACCCACCTCTTTTTTTCTTTCTTGTTTCGTGACCTGTTCGCACCCAGCAAGAGAGTCTGTGTGTAACGAATATACTGGTGATGTTAACCAGGCAGAGAGGTCAACTAGGTGATAATGTGTGTCCTCCCTCTCTCTTTAGGGGTGACCCACCTCTGCTCGGGGGCTTTGAAGAGACGGACTTTTAACTCCAGAGAGAGTGAGAGAGAGCAGACGCACCTTCTTCTCAGCCAGCCGCACCCCTTCCTCACATCCACCAACACCACCACCCACTCATGTATCTCAAACTATGGGACCAATCACTCATACTCAAACTATTATGGTGCGTCGTCGTCTTCTTGCCAATTCGCTTCCTCCAATAGTTTCCCCCTCCACGCCAGAATGTAAACTCTGGTTACGTGAAAGTAGTCGCACCACTACCAACCCACTTACCTTATCCAGTTACCTCTGTCGCTTCAATTTATTCCCCCCTCCCCCCAAAAAACTGCTTTTTATTGCTTGTGTTTAGTTTTGCATGGTTATATGCAGGGGTGGTCAAAATAGGCGAAAGTGCAGTGTTTTGAGCTCCGTCCTTCCCAGGGTTTGGATTTCTGGGCATGTTACACCCACAAAAGACGAGAAGCTGCATGGAGAAGACACCAGTAATACGAAAATACTTGATTTCTGAAGAAATTAACTTTTTACCGCTGGCAAAATACTTTTGTTTATAAAAAATCGTGAAAACAATCCATTTTGACAGCGACGAAAAATTAATTTCTTCACAAAACCTGTATTTTCGTACGACTATTGCCTCCTCCACGTAGTACCTCATCTTTTTGTGGGTGTGACAACCCTAGAAATACAAATCAGGAACAGCGGGGCTCAAATAGTATATTTTGACCATCCCTGGTTCTATGTATGTTCCGCATGCCACGGTCATCAAAACTATAATAGTCGCTCTGCATACAAAAACACATTATATAATTACGTACGTAGTGTAGTTAGTTGGAGCTGTGTGGTCGTAGGAAACTTGATTCCAAACCGTAGACGTGTCTCACACAGATACAAATATTTAACAACTCTTCAAACATTTTAATTATATTTATGGTAAAAAAAACTGCAAACTTATTTAACTCGACTCATAACTTTTGTGAATAACATGATATAAATTTAACCCACCATTTTTAATTAGAGTTAAAATTTAATGTACTGTGTTCGTGTCTGGTTAGTGGGAGGAGGAGAAGCAACAATTCTTACCTCTCCGACGACGACGAAGATGACGCCGAGACTTCCAACGGCGCGGGGCAAGCGTCCACTTCCATTCGTTACCTAGAACCTGGCGTCCTGCCCCATCGGAGCAACGTTCTTCCACCCATCCAGCTCCCCCTCCAACCACTGACCCCACACCCACCTCCACACAAATCATCACCAGATAACACGTATAAAAAATAATAATATTAAAAATATTTAACACTCTCGACATGAAATTTACATACATAAATCAAACACAAAACATCGACACGATAACAAAAAACAAGAAACAGTAATCCTAAAATAATAATAATTTCTTTCTTGTTCTTCTTCTTCCTTGTAACTTGTGTCACTTCTCTTGTGTCCATCTCGCTCCTCTCAAACCGCTTGTGTATGGTACCCTCCTGCAGTGCGGTCCTGATCCAAGTGGCGGAAGCAACACCCGTCACAACGACGGACGCTCCCCCCCGCTCTTCCTCCCCCTCCGAGAGGAGAAACAGTAGTTGATGATGATGATGAGATGATGAGTGAGTCTGGGCGATGAAAAACATACCTAACAAAACAATGGTAGTGGTCCTCCTAGCTCAACTCACTAAAATGCACATCAAACACTGACCCCCATCACTCAATTACTGATTTTTACACCATAATTCATTAATCTACACACTAAATCTGATTCGATAATTGATCTGTAAATATGCATCATCATGCAAGTCAAATCGGTTGACGATTAAAACATGTTAATGACATCTTTAGGATTTCCCAATGTCCTCAAAATTGATGTTCAGAAGATGCCTTTAAGACATGTCCCATGTTATATCAGACATAGCCTGGATATAAATTTTTCGGACACCTTAAAGATGTCATTAATGTTTAAGTCGCCAGTGACCGTTTGGGCGATTATCCGATCGCTTTCTCTGTCATCATGTCAATATCTTAACGCTTTTTACCTTATTGGCTCAAACTTTACGCTTATGTCACCGAATTTTCTGTCTGTCTGCACTATTTTCTTATTATATGTACCTCTATATTTAAATATGTTTGTCGCGTGTGTATGTCTCGCTTATGTAGGATCACATTAGCTGCAGTTGTTATATTATCGCATGCCGCACGCCTTCTTCTTCTCCCTTCACTCCCTCCATTACAATATGCATATTCTTATCGTACATTATGCTAATCCAAGTCTGCCCATATTTCAGAAACTGGCCGATGATGAGGATGAAAGTCACTTGAACAGTGAATGGGCGGACGGCTCAGTCCTGAAACGCTCCTTCCACGGTCTCGGAGATGTCTCCTGGAGGCCGAAGTAAAAAAAACGCCACCAACGCAGCCTTACCACCAAATCCAATCCAATCCCATCCCACCATGAAAAAAGTAATATCAAGAAACATCGAATCTCCACTTCTTCTTCTTCTCAGCCTCCTCAAAAAAAGTCAGACCAGACCAGACCACGCCACACCCACATCATCGTCATCGTCGTCAACATCATCATCATCATCGTAAAAAAATATGCCACACGCTATACTCCTCCCCTCTTCCTCTCAACCACTCATCATAAATAGCAGCTCTAGATAAGTAGATCATCATCACCCCCTCCTCCGACAGCAGTACCTCAGCAGCATCAGCAGCCGCCATATTAACAGCTTCAAAAACTAACGAACCTCCTCCCCCCGTCCCCCCCAAAAATAAAAAAGTCCCCCGCCAAAAGGCCGGACGAAAGTGGAGTCACCACCGTCGGGAGAGATCAAAAAGTCAGTCAGTCATCAGTCCTTATTATTATTATTATTCTTATTCTTAAGTACTTATCTACTAAAAAAAGAGCACAATTTAACAATTAGCCTACATAATTATTATTATACAACAATTATGATTATGCGTCGTCCTTACTAATGTGCAATTAATCACGAAATGGAAAAAGAAGAGAAAGAGTATGTACTGTAAGAAAAACAGTTATTGTAATTACCTATCTACGACGAGAAAATGATAGTAGCCAAGCCAGGCGAGAGAGACTCATCGTCGGCGGCGTCGTCGTCGTCGTCGTCATTTGTATAAGAGCTATTTCAAGTAGTTGTTAGTCTGCCAGTTTATATAAAAGAAGAAGAGAATTAATAAGTGAAAAGGGAGCAGCAGCTTTTTCAATGTTTTTTTTCTTGGGTGGAAGAAACCACCCACCCACCAATTTTTACAACTTTTGATCTAAATTCATCTAAAATATTTAACATAAATACCAAACAAACTCGCATATTTCTACCAAATTTTGAACCATTTCCTTTTTCTCTCTCTCATCTCTCTCTCTTTCTTATGAATTCTGCCACCGCAAAAACAAATACCAATCAAAACTAATCCAGCCGCATAGCATATTTGTATGTATAGCAAGAATTTAAGCGAAAACAAAACCAACAACTAATTAATTACTTAATTAATTACTCTGTAGTTATTAGTCAGCCAGCCAGCCAGCCAATTTATATACAGAGCAGACACACACACACAATCTTTCTTAAAAATCGCCTCACTCACACCCATCGTTCCGTTAATCTGGATTACTTTCTCCACCACTTTCTCCTCTCTTTTGGCCAGCCTCTCCTCCTCCCAAACACTTGATACATAACGCTTCTCTACGACAACAAGTACCGGTCGGGTGATGTGATGATGACCGGTTACTCCTTCTGTACTGACGTAGACTTTGATAAGTAGGTAGGTAGGTAGGTAGGTAGGTAGGTAGGTAAATTGTGGGGTGGGGAGGAAAAAAATCATCATCACCACGGTCAACCACCGCCGAGTGAGGTAAATATGTAGCTATCTAAAAAAAAGACTCGATAATACGTAGTCTTCTTGTCACCCACACAAAAATTATACTTAATTACATACGACGATGAATGACATTTTTCCAAACTAATGAGACCCTCTCTCTCTCTCTCTCCATTAATTAATTAGTTAATTAATTACTAGAAATGATGATGATGATTTTGGGTAGTTTTGATATTGTCAATCAACCACCACGTGAAAAATAATAATATGTACGACACACCACGTATAAAAAAGTACTACTACATAATAATGATATCCATTCATGAATCTGCCTCCTATGCCTGCCTCTTTCTAAGCCTATATTCTATATACTTACTAATTACTCTACGCTACATATGGATATGGATACAAATTTATTATACAAGTCGGAGTCGGAGACACTCTTAAAATGTAAACTATCTCAGAAACACGGAAGAAGAATTCTCACACACTTTCTCTCTCACTTTCTCTCTCTCTTTCTCTTTCTCTCTTAAAATTTCGGTCTAGTCGTCCACCCCAAAAACTACATTTTACACGTGTAACACCAAACCTGCATAAATTCTATGAAAGTACACACTAATTACTTACATACAAAAAAAGTACACTTTTTGTCCTAGAAATTAAATCACAATCAATTTCATGAGATCCTAAAAAACGTTGCTTGTTTCTACCCTTTTACATTTCTTCTTTTACATTTTGTATTTATCATGTATGTAAAAAAACCTTATCAAAAACACAAAGACACAACTTCCAGCATGAGACTGCATATTATTACTTAATTAATTAATTATTACTTTAATAATTAATTATTACTTTGATTACCCTCTCTTTTCTTTAGTATGAATGCACAAGTAATTTTTAGGGAGAAAGTACTTACACTAATGACAAACCGCCTGAAATAAAGAAGAAGAAATCACGCTAATTGATTCTACCAAGATTTAGACGAGTCATTTAAATTTCCTTATTTGCTTATTGAAACTTTTTCATAGAGAAGAAGAAAAAACTATGTATCTATTTGCATACATCACATCGGAACAATATTTATCCCACCCAGTCTAATACCGCATTTGTACCAACCACCCACATACCTGACCTCCTCTCGTCCCTGCTCTTTGCATAGCTAAACATAAAAATAGGATATACTAATTACAGAATAATTGACGATATTCCAAGAAAAGAAAAAACCAACAGCTAAAAACTACCAATAAATGTGCATCATTATTTCTCAGAGAGAGGAAAAAAATAATGCATCCACAAAAAACACACGACACACACACAACGACGACACACGCAGGATGATGATGAGTCTATAAGTGAGAATAAATGTAAGCTTGATACGCTGGAGTACATTTTAAGTAATTAATTAACTTTATGTACAATTAAGAAATAAATAACTGCTCTAGATTATAAAAAACATGACATATTACACGAGCTACGAGGATATGTAATAATAAAATGATATGATGATGATGCAGACGAGACTAAAATCTATGTAATTAAACAAAAAACTTGAAAAATGATGATCTATCATGTCGAAATTATAACACTTAATGAAATGATTATTATGTACGTAAGGTAATAACAAAAAACATTAAAAAGGTACATACCTACATACTCTTCTATAAATCATCGCTCTGCTGCAGCTACATAAAAAATACCAGTTTTACATACATACTTAAAACTTGTCCACTCCACGCCTCAAGAAAAAACAAACAAATTTTATTCACCAACCACACGCCACAAACCACACCCACCCACCAAACCACGCCACGCAACGCCATAATGCCACCAACCAACTAAAAACCAGCTGAATACTTCTTCGTCTTCGAGGGGTAATTTATAAATGGTTGAGTTTATCTATCATTCAGTGGCTGCGGAAGTTTGGGTGGGGACAGAGGGGCAATGACCCCACGGGTATCATCTGCCCATGTTATGTAAACCCCCCCTATCCAGCAATGTTAATGTCCCCACGGCTTCCGCGGTCACTGCTCTCATTATGTATCATCATCAAGAAACGCCGCTGCTACTAAAAAATAAAATACTAAATACTGCATTTCCTACAATATATCTCCTGCTCGTCCCCCGTCCCCTCTTTGTCCCGACTTCCTACTCCTCCTCCCCCGAAAAAAGAAGAAAGAAAGCATATTAAGCATAATACGGATGAACGGATGATAACTACTTAACTACATACTTGTCGCCGCTGCTACTAAAACTTACATAAAATAAAAAATATTATATGGATAAAGTACTACGTCATCTTTTTAAATTGATTATCTGGTCTTATTACAAATATATTTACAAATTATTACTTGTTATATAATTATCTCAATTATCTATTAATTAGCCAAGTATAATTCTTACCTCTTTGTTATATCTTCGGATCATCAATACTACTACTACTATAAACTACTATTAATATTACTACTACTACTATTATAAACTACTACTGTTATATATTATGCAACAATCACACCGTTTTATGCAAATTCAACTCGCATAAAGATATAAAAATGCTGCAACATTTGCGAATAAAATTTGAAAAAAGTTGATTGATTGGTTGATTGAGACTACTTCTTGCATATGTCGAGCATGGGCAATGTTCACATTTTGCTTATTGCTGACCACTCTCATTTCAAAATCAATGCCCTTAGTTTAAGCTTATATAGTTTGAAAATAATTCGAAGCATTGATCTTTGTCATCGAATTTTGAGCATTTTGACCAAATTAGCTTTTCCTTAAATGTGTCAGATGCCTCCTGAAAACCACCGATTTACATGAAAAAGTAGACGTTGGGATATTTTGTGCATGAATTTCATATGAGACGAACAAAATATAGGACGTGATACACATAAGAAGAAGTCTGCTGCATATGTACATATCGAAAACCATGCATTCATATTTGAGACGAATGGGCAGGTACCCTGTCATCTTAAAAATACCTACGTGACATGACAATGGAAAAATATATTGCCGTCCTATTTTTGATACATGCCGATTGTACGGTACAGTCCAGAAAAAGGTCTCTGCTGTACAGTATATACCGCAGGCAGGAACGAGTCTCTTTGTGTAATGTATCGTATGATGAATGAATATTCTGGCTGGTTTATTACCCGACCAAAGAATAAGATATCTAAGTACATAGACTCCATTTGTCTGATGCAGAATAAAATCGTATTGCTTTTCGTGGTCTACATGCTTCTCATGAATTGCATGCATTGGGCTACTCGGCTGAATACGGAAAGGAGGAATAAACTGATACCCGGGTAAATTCCGGTCTGTGAATCTGGTTCACACACAAGAAGACACATTGACCAAGTATTACAAACACGGTACCAGCACTGACAAATGCATACGTTCAAAACTGTCAAAAGAATTAAGTAGTTGTGAAAAAAAACTTTGACAATTATGGAATCTGGAGAAGACCTCGTCGAAAGTAACGGCGCAATCGTAGATACACAACAAGCCTCATCATCATCGAAATGGTTCACCACTTTGTTAGACTGGAGACCACACCCCCGCCTCCAATCCGTCCTGAGTCGCGTCTTCCTCCCCCTCTTTACTTACGCGACACTCCAGCTCATCAGCCTCAGCCTGGTGACGACGTCGCCCACAACTTATCATTCCACGTCGCCTGTGGTAATCCTCCTCTTTCTGGGGCTGGGGATGGGGGAGCTATTTGACACGGTCAAGCTGCCACCCCTCCTAGGCATGCTCGTCACAGGGTTACTTCTCCGCAACGTGGATTTCTTCACGAGTGGTGGCGAGTGGTTGGGGTTAGATGTCGATGTCACACACATTGCGCCACAAATTTCGACGCTACTCAGGTTCAAAAACATGTCAGAAATATTTTAGGGTGAGCTCAATTTAGAATTTTGTATTGTTTTCTGTAGACAAATCGCTCTTGTCGTAATTCTCATTCGAGCTGGGTTAGGCCTTGACCCAGCCGCGCTACTCAGGCTGAAGGGAGTCGTGATCAGACTCGCGTTTTGTCCGTGTTTAGCAGAGGCTGTGACTGTGGCGGTGGCCTCGCATTTCGTTCTGGGTTTTCCGTGGTTGTGGGGATTGATTCTGGGGTAAGAATTCGGCATCTTAATTATTTATGAATCGTTATATTCTTATTAAACATAACTTTTGCTATCTAGTTTTGTCCTGGCTGCCGTCTCACCTGCGGTCGTCGTTCCGTGTCTTTTGTCCCTTCGTGAGCGTGGGTACGGGCTGGCCAAAGGGATTCCAACCATTGTTATTGCAGCCTCCAGTGTGAGAAGACTAATGGATTATTTACATTTTCAATTTATATTATAGGTTATTTTCCCAAAATGATTAAGGTGGACGATATATTGGCCATATCTGCATTTGGGCTTGTCCTGGGACTGAATTTCGCAGCATCTCCCAATTTTTGGGAACTCATTCTTCAAGGACCACTCGAACTGGGGGCAGGACTCGGATTTGGCATCTTTTGGGGATCACTTTTAGGCTCAATTTTCTCTAATAAGGATTCCCCTGGGGAGAATTCTGCCCTCGTGACACGAACCCTGCTCACCTTAAGTGGTGGGATAACTGCCCTCTTAGCATTTCAAAAATTCCACCTGCCCGGATCAGGACCCTTAGGTTGTCTCGTGGCCACTTTTGTAGCAGCAATCTTCTGGCGACGGAAAGGTGTGCTGGGCGACACTGTGAGTTCCGCTGTGGAAAATTAAATCTTTAGTATGAAAAATACCCAAAAACACTACTTTAAATTATTTACAGAGCAGCCTCAACCAAGTATTCTCGCTTTTGTGGTATGTTTTCCAACCCCTCCTATTCGGACTGATTGGGACAGAAATTGAGCTCAGAAAGCTGGAACCTGCCGTCGCCATGTTGGGCACCTTAGTTTTGCTTATTGGTCTGATCGTAAGTTTTAACCAGACGATTTTTTACAAAAAAAGATAAATTTCTCAAAATTTGCACATTTTGGCTTTTATCCCAAAGACTACCAATACCCCCCAAATATTTTTATGCACACAAAATTACGCACATTTTAAGCTATCATGAAAATCGTCTGAAAAAACACTGGTTCATTATCAGTACTAAAATCATCACCAAAATTTTTAACCAAACATTAATTAATGTTCCCCTCCCCCTCAGGTACGCGTGGGTGTGACTTATCTCACCGTGGCCAATGCAGATCTCAATGTGAAGGAGCGTCTCTTCGTGGCGCTGGCTTGGATCCCAAAAGCGACCGTGCAGGCGGCCATTGGTCCTCTTGCCCTCGACATGGCGCGATCCTCGCCAAATCCTGACCCCGACCAAGAAGAACTTGGACTTAAAGTGTTGACCATTGCGGTGCTCGTAATCCTGCTCACAGCCCCCTTCGGGTCGATGGCGATCACTCTGTTGGGACCCAAACTCCTCACTTCCTCGGGGGACAAAGAGAACGCCGTCAGGAAGAAGATGATGGGGGATGTCGAATCCAATGGTACAGATGATACCACAAATAATAAAAATGGAGACGAGACAAATGGTCAACACAAGAGAAACTCGTAAATGTCAGAAAGTAAACGCTCGTATTTTGTTGTCATTTGTTTATTTGTATTTTATACAAAGTTTTAGTGTCATACTTTGTCTGAGTAAATACATATTTTCCTACAATTTTATAAATAAATAACGAAAAGTAAACTAAATTGAGTAAAATTTCATTCATGAAACTAGTACACATTTCATTTTGCAGAATTTTATCACGGAGTTGAGTTTCATGCTACATGCTTTTTTCAGGGAAAGATACATTTAAACGAATGTTGATTTACATATTTGTTCAAACACTCGAAAAATTTCTCCAGAATTGTAATTTGAAGCAAACAATTTAATCAAATTAAGGTGCTTGAAATTATATAACATACGTATAATATAATATCGATTAATTTGCAAGTCTTGATTTTCATTTGTTTTGATTCATTTCCATTAATTGAAATAATTAAATATTTTAAATTTAATGTTTTAAATTAAAAGTTTTAATTAAAGATTCACTCGACCGGATGTCGACTTCTGCCTCCGCAATGATGGAGGGTGACCTTCTACTCGACCTGTTTCAAACAGAGTTTCGGAAAATGCACACTGACCTCGTCGACAAAGAAGTTCGACTCTTTCACCACCTTTTTCATCACTTATTCGCCACGAGACTCGCCAAGTTGGAACAATTCCTTTTGAGACATTGTAAAATAAATCTCATTGAAAGATTATCAATCAAAGACCAATTTAAATTGATTCCATCTTTATTATTTAGATGAGGAATTTGAAGTATTCGAACCCGATTATACTCCAATAAATCCAGCCCAAGTTCCACCAAGTAGTCATTCTTCACGACAACCACAAGAAACATCTCATGCGATAAACCTACCTTCTACCTCCTTCGTTGACATCAAGGAGGAGGAGGAGATACACACGGAATTTGACGAAATGGAGGAAGAAGAAGCTGTTCCGTTCTGCACATCAGGTATTTATTTGCAAGACGGTCGTCGACATTGCAAAAAATATTAATTTCGTAACATTAATTTACTTTTGTACTTATATTGGCAGCTTATGAAAATGAGAATGACGGTAGCGACATGAAGCCAGATGACCAACAAAACGTCACCGACGACATGGACAACAACTTTATCTCAATAAATGACTCTGATTCTGAGACTGATTATACTTCAAATAACGACGAGTCACTTACTACTCATGCCTCTAAAAATAGTTCAAGAGGCAGTAACGCCTTTTCATTCTCAATCTCACCCCACCAAAATGCCAAAGCAGGCCGGAAGAGAACCCCAATCTGGGAATGTTTCGAGACCACCTTCGCCCCCAATGGCAAATCAAAGAATAAAGTCATTTCCAACAATTGTCGTTGGTGTGGTCATTCAGTGTCAGCCAAATCATCCAGGTTGAAAATGCATCTTCTGAAATGCAGTGAAATGAAAAACTCGTCCCATAAAATGTCACGAGAAACAAAGCTACAACTGGAACAGTTCCGAGTAATTAGTCATTAATTAATCATTAAATTTGATCCTATACATTAAATCGATCATTAATTATATTCCACAGGTTCAAATGAATCTAGAGGAAGAACGTCACAATATATACAAGCAGGTCATCAGTGGGAAAACCAATTTACGGAGTAGACAAATCCCCACTGTTCTACTGCCCCCTCCAACTCCTCCCACAACTGGTCAACAACGCAACCCCCACGCATCCTACCTCAATCCAGACAGCATTAATTCCTACCAAGGAAGAAACACGGCAACATCAGAACCAACTGCCTCCTCATCAAGTGGTCATCAATTTGGTCAAGATGCACTGCAAATCTCGAAAACTGAAGATCCTCCCTTTCACAATTACTCGTAGAATTTCATATAAGAATCTCTATAATGTAAAATGTACATACTCACTAGTGTCGCAGTTATTTTGCAGAATAATATTAACAGGAATATTAATATTAACGTAGTTGCTAAACTGAATATGATTTATTACACTATTTTGTACATTATTGAACTGAGCAGTTCTAACAACAATTGACGTATCATGTATATGACGACGCGAATATGAAATCATAACTGTCAAGAAATATGTCTTGGAGATTCCGGAACCGGACCTTGATTAAAATCAAATTATTCTCACGCCACCAACCAACCACAACCGTCCAACTTCTACTCCGACCAGATACGTACGTACATGGTCTGATTATCTGGTCGAACATCTCTCGCACAATGCTCGTCTGTTGATCACCATAAAAAACTGGAGCTCTTCTCTCTGATCTGATTGTGAGAGACTGCGACGAAGTTGAAGATGAGACTTTGGATCCGGTTCACAGAACAGGAATAAAAGAGAGAAATGTATGAGCAGCAGCAGACAATAATTAGTTTTACTACATGAGATTAGACTTTGATGAGACAGTCTCACTCTGCCCATTCCATTCTTCCATAAGAATATCTCAACTGGAATAATACAATATGTTATTCAGAAGCTGAATTGATTGATTGTCATCTTGTTGGTAGCGATTGTGTGTTGATTTCATGATCCTGGTCTCCTCCCTCAAGGTCGTTTTATTGTCGCAGAGTCTATTAATACGAGAGACGAAGGTTGCTTCGTAGCCATATCAATCATTGTTTGTCCTGCCACAAAGTTTGTATCATGAGCACGATGATTGATAATCTGGTCGAGGAGACTGTACTTGAACTTGAACTGATTCAAGGATTGATTGATAATAAAGGGTTCCGCGAAGGGCATCGAGGAACCCTTTTCACATAAATAAATAATTACGCCGAGAACATTATTCTCTGACCACAACGACGCTCTTTAACCAAAATTGCCAAGTAGCGGACCATGATGCAATTTGGTCTGGTTTTTGGGTGGGGTTTAACAATACAGGATCATAATGTTAATTTTCTTTCTACGTCATACTCACCATCTCAACACACTTTTCTCATCATACGGATGATATTTGTGGCAAATCGATCCTCCTCCTCCTCCTCTGGCCATACTCCACAAAAGTATGTACCTGAATTCCTTCATGCTTCTCTCTGCTCTCAATACCGTTGTCGTGATTGTGATCTTGTACTTAAGTATTGTTTACCGCAGCAGCAGTGATCTGACTGCGTGGTCTGGTGGTATGTGCATACATACATCTTATTACCGTGAGGAGAGGCATGGAACATTGGGGATAAGAAGACCCCACCGTCCATCCAGTCGCCCTGTTTCCTTCAAGCCATGGTAGGGAGAGTATCAATCAGTCCAGGAATAGCAACCTAATCAATATACGATAAGATAAAGGTCATAAAATCTGACTAATCCCAAAAAACTTTAAGGATCAGGTAACAGAAAAATTTCATAGTTTAAATTAGCACCAATTAGATTTGAAAATGGGCAATTTTTGACAGACTCCAACCAAAAAACTTTATCTTTTTTGTGACGATGCATAAATGTCGAGTTACATATAATTGATCTGGAAGGGTTGAACCTACAATTAATTGACGTGTCGTTTCTCCAAGAAAACTAGAACTACGTAAAAATATTTAGAACAGAACAGCTCCTCAGATTATTATTCGACCCAAGCACGAAAGTCATCTCATGGAGGAGAACTTTTAATTCGTATTCTTATCTTATTTGCATAGATCTCTCCAGATTATAGATTGCTTTTATCCATGCACAGCTAAAAAAAACTGGCCCAATTACTTTTTAGTTGAGACATTTGATTATTGTCTGCAGGCGTTGTATTGTTATTTTTATTATTTCTCATCTCACCTCCCAATCTCATTTTATGTATGCATTCTCTCTCTGCTATAACCACTCCCATTTACTTGTGCATGTGTACATACGTGTAAGCAATCGTGTGAAATTCCATCCTGTAGATAAAATAATAATCAAAAGTGGAACTACAACAACACATCGTAAACGCGATAATAAACTGGTCGGATTTTATGCACAGCTTATTCTCTGTCAGATAGATTTGATCTTTCCCTTTTGGTGGACATTTATTGGAAAATAATCTCTGATTTTTTTTTTGCAGCTTCTTCCTTTTCGATTTATTTATCGACCCATCATTTACAAATACTTGGCCATTCCTGTAACAATAATGCGTGGACTTTGCTTTATTCTCGTCAACCTCTTCGTCGTCGTGTCCCTTTTTTCCGTAAGTAAATAAATCCATTCCTTCACAGTGTGGCGTTTCTTGTGGGTTTTCTACATTTCTTGCAGAGCAAAGCAAGAAACGCGAGAAATGCGAGGTGGAATAAACTGGGAGAAAGTACAAGAAATTAACTACAGCGGCGACAAGTAGGTTCTTGTGTCGTGCATTTCTTACAAGTCAAAATAAATAGCTGCAAGAAACTATGTACTTTCTTGCCATTATTCTTGCAAGCGGTTACTTGCACCCGAAACACTGCATCTTCAGCGGTTATTCGCTAATTAATACTAAAAATATGCAACTTATTCTTCCAGAGCCCTTCTTCTTCCGCTCCGACGGCATCTATCCCCTCCTTGACACCCCTGAAACAAAGAAGTCCGCCTTCCTCCTACAACATCTTTGAAGGGGCCGACCCTGCCCTCAACTCGGTTTATGGGGATTCTCCCAAACGAGAAAGTGACCCTTATCCCCCGCCACCCAGGGAAAAAGTCGTCACCCAAGAGGACCAAGTGGCCGAGAGGAGACCAGGTGCGTGGACACCACCACCATCCGCGGAGGAAGAGCTCCTCCCCCTCCCACTTCCCCCTTCACACCGGAACTACCTTCTCCGGGGGGAAGGAATCAGTATCCCTATCCAGCCTCACTTTTGGACCAGGTCGCCTCCGTCCTTTGGTAGAAGTGCGAAGGACACATCACAAATTCTTTATTCTCTTCTTTCTCTGCTCAAAATTCTGAATAAATGGAGGCTGGACCTTTTTATAGCATTCATATCCTTGACTTTTATCCGTTCCTTGTAAATAGAATTATGGTTATTTGAAGCCCTTGGTCGATTCGGGTGCGAAGATGAATAGGAACTACATCACAGTTGGCATTGCAAATCGTAAAGGTCGCCAACGGTGGTGGAGTTACCACTACTCAACGCACCAGTCTCAAGGGCTTCTCTCCATTCCGGTCGGGTCCCCAAGGAGAAGGAGCGAGAGAGGTAATAAGGTCAGTCCGTGGTCTGATCCCAAATCCAGATTTGCGATCGCAAATCCATCCGTCTGATCCATCTTTACGTGCCACGGGGGAGTAGTTTGCGTTGGAGAAAGCATTCTGAATGGTTTATCCGATCCGATCCTCCTGCAATAATACACAATCATCGTCACAGATCATAATCCAATCCATTCTTCGTATGCACATTATTAGATGAGACTCTCGCATCTAAATGGAATTATGCATGACTTATGTACGCGTGTGTGTGCATGTGTCGGCTCCTGCACCCATAAATATACTGTTGCATATTACTACCTTTGATTTTACTTAGCCTGTCGAGCAGTGTTTCGTTTTTTGCGGGTTTGCTACATTTATTGCAGTGCAAAGTAGGCAATGCAAGAAATGCAAGGTGCAAGAAATATGCGCCTTATCGCCACTATTTTTCTAGCCGTATGAAGTACAGCGGCGGGGCGTAGTTTCTTGCACCTTGCATTTCTTGCAGGTCAAAATACGTAGCTGCAAGAAACCACTTTCTCCCCGTTATTTCTTCCAAGTGGTTACTTATTACACCCTAAACACTGCAGTCTTACACAGTATTTTGGTATTGGGAAACGCTCATTCTTCTCTCACTGGACGGGGGCCTCGACTCGGAGTATAATAGCTGTTATGTTGCCGAGTTGGTGAAATGGATTGATGGGCCGGAGAGATGAGTTGGCAAGTGGCTATGCAAATGAGGTGCTGTTTGGATTCCCATCTCTCTCTGAGATATGCCCAACGACTGGATTGGATTGCAGGGTCATCTCAGCCAATCCAACTTTTAACTCTCTCATTCACTTCACGTGCAATCATCTCAACTCGCTCGTTCGCTCGCCATCCATGTGGACAAAAAGTGGAGAGACGAGTATTAGAGATGCCACCATTACAGATCTGACCAACCAGTCCGACGGGTCCAGTACGCTAGCTCGATCTCTTCTGCATTCCTCAGCATGCATGTTTTTATTATTTCTTTGATACCGTCCAAAAACATGAACCACCGCACCAACTAAACGCCAAATATCTAAAAGCTACTCTCGCTATCAAACCTTCCACGCGAGCAAAAACGGCACAAAAATCTTGCACAAGCCAGCAAACTAAATAACGATCTCTCCCTCCAGTCAATTCCCCCATTAAAAAAATATCTACCAAGAAAAGAAATACCAGGTTTCTTCAGCCAGAATGTGCACTTCTGGACTAATTAGCAGTGAATAGTGTGGAGGTGGTGGTCGTAGGCAGTACTTACCCGGGTTCAGTAGTCTCTTATCCAACTTTCTCTCTTTCTGATCCCATGCTTTTCCTGACAGGCAGCACACAAAAACTTTCTCCGCGAGTTTCTCACACCCACCACACCACTGATTTCGAAGTTAACAACGGAGAAATTTTTGAAAACCCGGCCTTTTTGCTGGTCACCCGTCACTGAAACAAACACCTCGGCTACTCACGTCCGATGCACCTGAAGAATTGGTCGTCTTCTTCTTGGCATGATCTCTGCCTCGTATTGAGGGAAGACTGGGAATAAGAAAGAGATGTGCTTCTCGACCAGTTATGCCTCATTGGATGGACGGTGCACAGAGAGATCATGGTGGTGTGGGTACAAAAGAGGCAGGTGGACTGCATGCATGCCATATCATCATCCTCGTATTACTATCACCTATGTATGTACATATGTGTCCAAGTCAAAGGTATCCTCAGATAATATTAGGTACCTCTGCTTGCCGTCGTCGTATAATGTCCAAACTAACCTGTTGCTTGTGGCGAGCTTAAAACCATGTCTGGTCATCCCATTCTTCTTCGTTTCCTATATGTACAATGTGTAGTCGTCCTTTCAACCTGTGTGCTCCCAAGTGCATAACAACTGCCACTGTAAAAGTTAAGGAAGCGAGACTTTGGACTTGAAGGGTCGCGGCGTGGCGTGGCATTCGGTCCCTTCATGATTTTTTTAAGTAGTGCACTTTTAAACGTGCCATTTATCCCGAGTCTTAAGCAACCTTTGATCTATTTTGAGCCTTTCTGGAGACACGGCGGTGACGTCGCCACTTCTTATTTCCATACTTCCGAGAAAACTTTCACCTCGGACAAATATTCCTCTCTCCTCATTTGCATAGAAGAGAACCACCTTGTTTGCCATAGTTTTGCAGGCTTAATGAGGGTAAAATGTCTGCGAGAGACGACTACTACCAGACAACGCCCTTACATCCATTTAAGAATATTTGCATATAAATTAATGGGGCAGAGTGAAACTGGTTTCGTTTTCGAAAGCCCTCCTCCAACTAAGTAACTTTCCCGTCCCCCAAGTTTTTATTTAGTCGCACGCATCGTTTTGGTCCTAATTACGAAATAGTTGCACCACTTTTTTTCCCTTACATAATCTCTTGTTTTTCATCCATACCCCTGCAATTTCTTCCGTCTCATCTTTCTCATGTGGCCACTTGAGGAGTAGAGAAAAAGATGCAGAAGTTGGTTGTTGGTCTTCTTCTTCCTTCCAGTCATGCAACCCAAGAACCAGAAGGAGAAGAAGACCCACGAAACCAACATTTACCTACCTGTCCTCAATAATAATCACCACCAGGTAAATATTTCTAAACCTGGTAGTGGGCCGTGCACGAATCGCGTCCCTTTCTTCTTCTGCCGCTGAGATGACCCTAACCACTTGCAAGAAATAACGCAAGAAAGTGGTTTCTTGCAGCTATTTGACCTACAAGAAATGCAAAGCGCAAGAAACTACGTCCTGACGCCATACTTCATACAGCGCGTGGCTAGATGACGCATATTTCTTGCACTTTCTCCCAGTTTCTTGCACCTCGCATTTCTTGCGTATGTAGAAATGTGGCAAACCACCCACCTGCAAGAAGCGAAACCCTGGAAAAGTCATGCACTCTCCTCTCACCTCACCGGACCGGTTTAAGCAGAAGAAGAAGAAGATTGCATGGCTCGGTCGTATAGTTTTGGACAAAAAGTGGGACTCTTCACTTCACCAGCTAGCCAGATGCCATGCCATGTCTGTCGGGATGGACGATTATAAATAAGCCCGTTCCTTCCCCAGGTACTTATTTACCATTATTTCGTGTAAAGTGGGAATGGGAGGAAGCAAAGGAATTCACCTCAACTTCTTCTCCTTCTCCTGCTCCTGATAATACCAGTCAGCAGCAGGTGTTTGCGTCCAAATATCTGTAGCATCACTCACTCACTACTTGCTTGCATTTCATGATTTTTTTTTCATGATACGATGATTTCATCATCTTCTTCTTATAAAGGGTCGCAAAGTTGTACATTTTACATGCCTGCATACTTAGTTACTTGTTGGTTGTAGAGGCATTAAATTTAGGACATTTTATGATCCGTGAGATGAGAAAGATTGGAATTTATGTACTGGTTCTCACTCAAGAAATCGCGGAAAGAGAGGAGAGAAACAAGTTGCCACATTTTTATACTTTATTGCATCCTTCCCATCATGACAAGAACCACTCTGGAAGTTGCTCAATAGCCGCATTATTACAGTCTCCTACCTACATGAATAAGTCCAAGCCGAAGAAAGGACGAGGACGACGACGACGAACAAGTAGTTTTCCCACGATGATGAGACGAGAGATCATCCGTATGCTCGTCATCCACCACCACCACCACCTGTCCCCGTCTACTTACGAACTGCGTCCACATTGCGTAACTTGATCTCCTCACAAAATCTCTCCCTGCCTCCGGGACCAAAGACTGAAACTAAAACAATATGCAATTCCATTTCTTTAATAATTGAATCAAACTTCAAACATCCGAGAAGAAGAAGTTCTCCAGTTACGAAATACTTTTAAAACGATAAAGAAAGAAGCCAGTCAAAAGTATCAAGTTTTCTCTCCGTCTCGCTCGCTCTTTTCTTCCCCGATTTGAGCCTAGATCGAGGGGAAAGCAAGCAAAGCAGTGGGTAAATTTGATCAAGGAGACATTGTTCAACGTCAACCCACACGGCCACGCGCTCTGTACAGACTTTGCCCTTGAATGTCATCTCAATTCTGTCGCGAAACCCTTTGACGACGGACGGACGAGATTTCGGAGAATTTAATGTTTAGGATGAAATGAGAGCCAGGTGAAAGTCGAGGATTTGTAGCATTTATGTACCAGCAGGGGTTCAAGTGCGATGAAAGTCTTTCACTTCACACGGTCGTCACGTGGTCGTCTCCCACACACATCGTGTCCGTCTGGCTGATTCACTTCAATCGAATCAAGGAATTAATAAGGACGACTTTCTCTCTCGTCCATCCATTACATTTTAACTCGGAGCGGAGTCGTTTATATGGCTTGTGCGTGGTCAAATCTCCAGTCCACTCTGAAATGCTCGGCTATTAACCATATGTCACTTTGATGACCTGTTTACTCTCCCCGAGAGAGGCTTGCTTTCTCTCATCCACTCAACTTTACCACAACTTTCACTCTGCGCCCATTAAAAAAATTCCGACCGGGTTGGTTGTTTGGCCATCTTCTCGCTTTTATGGGCATGCACACAGGTAGAACTTAATGGCCGGACAGGTAGAAAAAAACGAAGGGCTCCGGTTAACCGTACATATTTCTTTCATTAGTATTCGCCCACCTTGTACTAAAAAGGTCTACTTTTGGGCACAATTGGGTATCAAGGGATCGATATAATAAGTAAGAGGATCAGATCAAATACACCAATATGTAATTAATTAGAGAAAGGAAGGAACTCCATCCATATATTGCGCAATTTGTTTTTCTTCTCCACTTACTTGTGCTCTTTGCCCTTTGTTCTTTTGTCAGGGAGAAAGCAGTGGCCGCGGACAATGTCCCCACGGTTGTTCGATGTCCCCATCATCTGTCCATGTTATACAAACCTTGCCCTCCCCTATCCTGCAATGTTAATGCCCCCACGGCTTCCGCGGCCCCTGAGAGAAAGCAATATCTATCTCCATCGGCTCAGACGGAATAAAGAGCTCACCTTTCTTCTCTGTCCTCGGGCTGGGTGAACATATGCAGATAAATCGGCCAACAATTTTCAACCTCTTTCCGCGAGACAAATATTTCTACGAAATGAACAGAACTTGAAGGAGACGTAAGCCCTCGTAATGAGAGAGTTGGCGTGGTGGTGGGTTGGTGAGTGAGTGAGTGAAAGCAGTCGTTGCCATTAGTTCCACACTCCATTTCAATTTCAAAAGGTGTACCAGAGGAGAAAGCGGTGGTGGTGGTGGAGGTGAAAGGAAGAATCATAATAAATTTGGGCTCTCTTTTGTACCTCTTGCTTTTGCTTCTTGATTTGATTGCTCTTCGCTACACGGAATTAATAACAAGCCAGCCAGGCAGGGCAGAATATGTGAATATGTAGGACGACATCATCTCCTCGTTCTCTCTGTGTGTGCATTCTAATGGAGAAAGTAAACAGAGCAGGGGAAAGCAAACATGGGATCGGAGAGTAATATTCGAAATTGAGAAGACGAGCCCCTGCGACGAATTGATCATCATCACCGTCGCACCGCCGACAAGAAAAGTATTTTGGGGACCTTTACATAATTATCAAATCCGGCCAGACAGACGCTCGTTCCGTAATCGGGTTACGCAACTTGTTACGTATTCTGGCACATTATGACATCGTCGATTTACTTGGGATTCTTCTTCTCTCCCTTAAATTGCGCTGCTATCCCAGTTTTGGCAAAAACCTTCTCACTTATGTAGGGTTTCGGGTGCAATAAGTTACCATTTGCAAGAAATGACGGGAAGAGAGTGGTTTATGTAGCTATTTTGACCTGCAAGAAATGCAATGAGAAACGGCTTACCGCCGCTATACTTCATACAGCGCGTGACTGGAAGGCGCATATTTCGTGCACTTTCTTGCAGTTTCTTGCACCTTACATTTCTTGCGTTTATTGCTTTGCACTGCAAGAACTAGGGCAAACTCGCAAAAAACGAAACCCTGCCCTCATGTTCGTATTTATGCCTTGTCGCTCTTTTTGAAGGCAAGGCGATGGAACGATAGAAGTCAGAAAGGACGTAATGGGGCCACCCTGCAAGATTTCTTGGTCCAGTAGCACCGTTTGTTTATAGTCCTGCCAAGCGAACATCCTCTTCTGCCAAGTCAAGCCAAAGTCTGATCCCTTCACACGCCTTGCCTGCCTCGCTCAACAATACGGTTCAAGTGAAAGCAACAACAAAAGATGCAAACTTTCACCCTGCAAGTTTCCCTGGCCCACTTTATTTTTCAAAAGTTTCTGTAAAGCGTGACATGACGCCATCACTCCGCTTTATAAATTATCGACTGATATAAAATTAGACAGAGGCATGCACCCCGTCAACCTCAAAAGCCATCCATCCCGGTAGGAAACTCCTTTGTTAGGTGCAAAACCGGATCACATCGGAAACTGGGACGTATGCAGAAGCCACAAAACTGTGCTCGACACGACTGCAAAGTTATTCTCTGACCTCATTAAATTAAAACGAATTAAACTTTTGTGCCCGAGCATCAGATCAAATCAAGCGAATAATGGGAGCGAGAATCCGAGACCTTTATTGCTCTCGGAGAGGAATAAGACGTGTTTATCACGACAACTTGGCCAAGTACTTGCTTACTGCTCCGTCTGACCGTCCTTCCACCGGGTGGGATGAATAATTGAGGGCAGAGTCCATAAAAAACGTAACCTTGACATGTGCCGGATTTTTGTCCTTCTTTATGAGAAATTCGGGCAGCTAAATAAAACAAGTTGATGCTTTCCCCCAGGGCATTGGATGCAAATTGAGGAGGATGTCTCCTATTCACTTCGGTCTCTCGCTGAATTTTACTTACTTATGTATTACTCGTGCATGCATTGGCCCCATTATTTTAGTGAGGGCTAACTAAGTACTTAGAAGGGATGGGCAAAATATTTTCACAAAATGCAAGATTTTGAGATCCGTTCTTTATAGTGTTTGGATTTCCAGGAGTGTTACAGCCACAAAAAAGGCGAGAATCTACGTGGAGAATACATGCAGCAATCGCATGACAATGCAGGTTTTAGGATGAAATTAGCTTTTTATCGCTGCAAAAAAACTTAATTTTACAAAAATCGTGAAGACAAATGTATTTTGACAGCGGTAAAAACTTAATTTCTTCACAAAACCTGCGTTTTCGTAAGACTTCCACCCAGATTCTCAACTTTTTGTGGTTGAACACCCCTGGAAATCTAAACCGTGGGAAGAACAGAGCTCAAAATATCTGGTATGCATTGTTTTACAGAGTATTGTGCCCACCTCTGTTAAGTAAGTACTCGGTCGGAGAGAAAAGGAAGTTGTCAGTTTGCAACGATCCCTCTTTAAAAATTAATCCGACTTACATCTCCAATCCGGCCACGTCCATATTTCAGACCACGCTATACTACTTACCCTTTACAAAATCACGTTCTTCTCGTGTTGGGCGGATATTTATTAACTATGATCGCAGCATAATGTGAAAATCCAACAGTCAAGTCAATCCAATTCCTTGCAGGCAAACTTTAAACCTCGAGAGAAACGAAGTGCCGCACCGCCTCTGACTTTCTGTCCTCTCAATTAAACAGAGTACAAAATATGCATACAAACAGACATAATCTCATCAGATGATTTCTCTCGAGGCGAGAAGAGAAAGCATGGTCTGAACAAACAGATTCCACATCTTACGTAAGACTGCGTTTCTACAATTTTTTGTCTGCCTGCCTATTTCGTCGTGGCCTCTTTTTATTCCTTCACTACTACGACTACTTATGCACTAAATAGATGGGCGAGAAGAGAAGTCGTCGTTGTGGAATAGGGAGAAAGCGAGAGAAAGCGAAAAACTGAGATAATAGCAGGAGCAGAGGCAGAGGCAATGGTGAAAGTGGTGGTGGTGCTCCGAAGAGTAGCGGAGAAAGTTTGTGTAGAGATGGTCATGCTCTTACGAGATCCACTACTTACTCATGGCCAACTTTTGCCAACTGGGGGTGTATGGATGGATAGAAGTGTGTGTAGAGTGGAGTGTGGGTCTTGGTCGTGGCATTCGTTCCTTGCCCTGCTCTCGTCGTATATAGTGAGTCGTAGTGGAGTGAAAGTGGATCAGTTGGTGCCTGGCATCAGGAGGAGAAAGTAAGGACAAGTTTGGTTCACTGCTTTCACTGCCACCACTCCACATCAAAATAGGTCATCGCATCCTCCCCAGCAACACCACTCCCTTCAGGAGGCACTTAATCCGACAGGGTTGATCGGGGAATATCTACACAAGCTAAAAATATTTAGCAGGCACCTCTCCACGTCACCACACCCAGCCGAAAAGCAAAAGGAAATCAGCAGGTGAGCTGAAAGGGGTATTCTTTTTTTTCTTCTTGAGCATGCACTACGAATGAGATATTTTTTTTAAATGATACATTTTACTTATCATCGTCTCAATTTCCGTACTCATTTCCGGAATTTTTGTTATTTCCTGTTCAATTTATAAGTTTAGAATCTTTCCATCTTTATCTTTGAAATGGTTGGGACACGATTTGTGGGCAGAGGTTTGTGTGCGAATTGCTTGCGTGCGGTGCGTGGCACGGAACAGAACTCGGAGAAAGTCTTGCAAGGCTGCAACATTATGCGAGCAGGGAGAAAGTAGGAAGTAGGAGGAAAGTTTCTCTGCTTTTGATTCGACGGTATAGCCGTGAGCGTAGTTGGATAGTTGGATGCCGTATATTTTTAGACGTGTAGCGTCGCAGTGTGCGTGCATCGAGAAGGATGCCGATGACCTGCTCAATCCTTGGGTGAATTTTGATGTAAGTTACATAATTTTGCTGTTGGCAGGATGTCCTCGTACGAGAGTAGCAGTCCAAAAGCCCTTCGTGTCACGGATTGGGAGCGTGAGGTACGCTTGGGGCTCACGGCGTCATCCATGGACCAGTTCGAGGAGCGTGTGAGGTCAAAAATGGACATCGACTCAGAGCTCTCCCTCCGTGTCGTGTTGGAATCGGATGGGTAAGCCAAATTCCAAGCTATACTCGCTCCCAAATTTTCTAGGCAGTTCGCAAATGTACGTTTTTAAAATTTCCGTAATTTTTCTTGTCACTTGAGTTGGGTCAAAATTTCCGGAGACACATAAGAGTGATTTCAAGATCGGCTCCGGAAATTTTGACCCAACTCAAGAGATATGGAAAATTACGGAAATTTTAAAAACGTAGATTACTAACGGCCTATTATTCTCAATTTCCAGAACTGAGATTGATGACGAGGACTACTTCGCCACCCTGGAACCCCACACCACGCTCATGGTCTTGGTTGGAGAAACGCAGCGATGGACCCCGTACAAGTCGAACTTTGTGTAACTAATTTAATTAATTAATTAAGCTTAGAGCACGTACTTTCACTAATGATAATTTAATTGCAGTCTGGGCCTGGCCGTGGAAGGGGACGGATGCAACGGGGGCGGAGATGGGGCCTCTCCAGTGGAAGACTTGGTCTGGCGTCTGCACCAAGATCTCTCCTTCTTCCCCTGGCTCACGCTCCCAGAGTTGGAACGGATCTCGAAAATGGATCGCGAGGAAATGCGTCACGTCGTCCCGGACCCAAATTTCCTCGAGTTCCTGCAAACTCTATGTGAACGATATTTACAGGAAAAGGTGAAGTACATACATAAAATCCCCGTGGCTGCGGAAGCGGGGGGACAGAGGGACAATGTCCCCACGTTTATTCAATGTCCTCTTCATCTCCCCATGTTATACAAACCCCTCCCTCCCCTATCCTACAATGTTAATGCCCCCAGATGGCTCCGCTTCCGCGGCCATTGTAAAATTCAACTATTTTGCATGAGCTCTACATAACGCTTCAATTTCTGTTCAGGAGAAGGGACCCACTTCTGAGGGGATGAATGGCGGGTGTAACGGGACGATGCCGCCCCCGCGCTGCTCGACCGCCTCCATTCTGAACGACCCACTCAAACTGATCCGCCTCTACGCCAAATTCAACTCGATGAAGGCGCAAAATGGATTCTTCTCCTTTTCCTCATGCGGATCCGAGGAGTCGCTGGCTTCACTCCACATCTCGAACAATGTCGGTGGTGGTGGTGGCGGCGGCGGGGGCGCGGTCAGGGCGCAACCTTCCATTGAACCACCCACTGCCAAACAGCAGAATTAAATAAACAGGAATCAATTCATGGTAAATAGGAAGAGGTGTCAGTTTGGCGAAAAGCATATTGGCGAAAAACTTTCATCATACATAAAATTATCCAATTTGGCGAAAAATAATACTCATTTTACAGTTCTTTAGGTTCAATAATGTTTCTAAAGTACATTTTAGCGAAAGCAATGTCTCCAGGGTGCATAAACTTTTTTGTTGTCCATAGTTTCTCCTTAGGAGAAACCACGGACAACAAAAAAGTTTATGCACCCTGCAATGTCTCATTTCACGATTGCTTGACATTTAGTGCCTAGTTACCCTTAACGGTTGCGACAAATGGTCGAGTTATAAATAAAATATTCATTTTTAAAATTATTTTAAAATTGGTTTTTCTCCCATGGACGAAAAACCAATTCTCCAGCCAAAATATTAAAAAAATAAACTGTAACCCACGACAATTTAAAAATGAAAATTCATTTGTAACTCGGGCATTTGTCGTAACCTTATAGATTGATAAAGTGTCAAATAATCTTGGTCTCATTTGGCGAAAATGCAGATATTTCGCGAAGATTTCACAAGTTTTCCGTTTTCGCCAAGTGTGACGTTAATTTCGTCAACTGGTACTTTCATGATATTTAATTTTTCATCAATTTGACTTTCGCCAAACTGACCGTAAATCGGTAAATATTTGTCGTCGTGTAGAATGGATTCGAAATTTGTATTATGGATGGAATTGTAAAATAATTACCAAGTTTGCACGAATTTCTCACTTTGTCACATTAAACAAAAAATGTATTACATACAATTTATAAATTATAGTGAATTAATTAATTAATTATAATTAATTCCTTCATAATAAGTTTCACGTACAAAAAGAAACTGCATTTTGAAATTCTGTTGCATTTTTATCCAGTAAATATTGAAAAATAGAGATTAAAACAACGAATACCTGAGAACGGTAAGGTTTTATAGGGTAGAAAATAAATAAGCGTTGGGTGTGACTGCTGTACATACTTTTGCTCAAGATTGACCTCGACCTCACAACTTGACCTGTGGCTTTTGTATACGGTGGTAATGTTCCATAAGATTCGAATGAGTTGGCCAAAAAGCGAGTCAGTAAAAAAAAGTAGAGACTTTTGTTGTAAGTACATATTAAATTAATTAGTTGGGTACCAGGGATTATCAAGGTGCAGATTATGTGTATCATGACCACGACGTTCTTCAACTCAATCAACGATACCACAGTACAGAAAAAGGGCTTCTACATACATAACACACATAAAACTAATTAAACTACATATGTAATTAATGAAGTGTATTTAAGAACCGTGTACTCAACTTAGGATTAGTTAATTACCTACTTTTTTCAGCACCATTATTATCAATTGTTCAGGTTCACGTAGGTGTTTAAATATTTGCATTTAACTCATACTTTTACCGTTTTATTTAGTAATCATGCATATGTAATTAAAGAGCAGGAGTGTAATAAGTACTCAAATCTCACAGATATTTACAGCGTAAACACGACCTCTTCAGTACAAGTATGCTCAACCGAAAATTTAATAAAAACCGAGTTTCAAAATTGTCGTCTCAAAGTAAATTTGTCCTTTGCGAAATACATGTTCATCCTGAATTCAGTGAACTCCGAAAAAAGTAAGTAGCCATAAAAAGTGAGACTTCTTCTGGTACATAAAATTGGGACAAGATCAGGGTTTCGGGTGCAAGTAACCACGTGCAAGTAATAACGGGAAGAAAGTGGGTTTTTGCAGCTACATATTTTGACCTGCAAGAAATGCAATCCGCGAGGAACTACGACACGATGATATTACTTCATACGGCGCGTGGCGCATATTTCTTGCACTTTCTCCCAGTTTCTTGCACCTCGAATTTCTTTCGTTTCTTGCTTTCTATTGCAAAAAAAACAACGGCAAGAGAGTGGTCTCTTGCCTGATTTTAACCTGAAAAAATCCCAAGTGCTACAAACTACGCCCCGCCGCTATATGTACTTCATACGGCGTGTCGCTAAATAATGCAAATTTTTGGCACTTTCTTGCACCTCGAATTTCTAACATTTCTTCCTTTCCATTGCAAGAAATGTCGCAAACCCGAAAGAAACGCCACACTGAAATAGACGACGATTCAATCCATCCACCCACGCAAATCCCTCGAGACATCGTCTTTTAACCTCATCATCATCATCGCCATCCTGATTGTGTGATCTCTCCTCTCCTAACTTTACCAGATCTTATTTAAGACCAAGACTACACGAATAAGGCAAAAAAAAGAATCATGCGACGATATATCCTTAAGAAAGATCCATACAACCACAAACTCGCTCTCTTCTTCTTATGTATGGATGAACACACTTCCAACCCTGCCAGACTCAACAATGGGAATGGATGATTATGGTTGTAGGATGCCGCACCTGGTCGAAGCTACAGATTTAACACACCTGCACCCTATAAGCACACCTTTGTAATAAAAGGTGAATAATGTGGACGGGTGGGTGGATGGCTGGCTATACGTAAGAACGTAGCGATATATGGTCTCTTGCATCAATTTCAGCCTTTATTTGCACGACAATTAAGAGTTCATTGTTAAATATTTGTTGTCTGAACGTTGTCTCCTCACCGGTTGGAGTTGGAGTTAAGAAGATGTTTTTTTCCCGAAATCAGCAATAATTTCGCTTAAAAGACACAAGGTCAAAGTTTGTGCCACAAAAGACTGAGGTGGGGGCGAGTGTGCAAAAAATTGCGGTGATGTGCCATAAAATCTAGTAGGAAATTGAGCCAGATAATATTTAGGTTAGAGTAAAATGTTACCAGGAGGATGGGTGGTGACACTGGTGTTGACCGTGTCACTGGGGGTACGATGTGCGGATGGGGTTGGGTGGAGCAGTAATAAAATGCTGTCCTCGTCGTCGTTATCATCGTCATCTCGACAGTTGGGGGGTAGTCATAGTCTTCACGACAGAATCGTGTCTTCCACGACGAGCAAATCTAAAACGTTGGAGGATGAGGTGTGTACTACATTCATAAGTCGCTCTAATTTTCGAGGAATGATTTTTTCATGTCAATCTACATAGCGAAGACAGCAGTCATAAGAAAATGCAGTGCAATTTTGCGAAGAAATTAACATTATCGTTGTTAAAATACTTTATTTTTTTAAATCGTGAAAACAATTTTACATATTTTGACCACGATAAAAACTTAATTTATACACAAAATTGTACTGCATTTTCGTACGACAGTTATTCTCCACGCAGATTCTATACTTTTTTGCGGGTGGAACAGCCTTGGAAATCCAAACCCTGGGAAGAACGCAGCTCAAAATACTGTATTTTGACAAAGTATTTTTTCACCCTTGCTAATTTGACGATTTTTGTAGGACGACTATTTTGACGAAGATTACAAGGACGACGAGGACCTGGACGACTACCTAGTTCATCCGAGGAGCAGCAAAAAGGGCGGGAGTGAGCGGAGAGAGTGGGTTTCGATCGACTGCCCCAAAGAACTTCGAGGTCACTGTCACTGCGGCCACCAGCGCGACCCCAACGACAAATTGAGAGTTCGCCCCGTTGTCAACTGCACCCACGCTGGATTCACGGACACAGACTTTTTCAAACATGTCCCAGTGGAGACAGAGGTCCGGCAATTAAAAATTCTTTTGATGTTAATTATAATCACAGGACGCGTACATATGTAGTTACGAAAAATCCCTGAACTGTATTTAATATTTACGAAAAAAGGAAAACTATTTAGGAAATAGGCACAAAAAATAAGAATTTTCGAATGTACTTTGTTTTTTTGTGGTCCAATTTCTTTGAGCAAAAAAATCGTCTCACATCGTTGGAATATTTACAAAATGTTGTTTTACAAAATTTTGAAAAAACTTCTAACGTATTTCACAAATAATGGCAGAAATATTTCTACATAAATATGTCTGAAAACTTTGAAGTATGTAAAATCTGTGAAAAAATTGTGAAATTTTTGTGGTTTATAAGAGCACGCCACAAAGTTTACCCGTCGGTTATCATCAAATGAAAAATTTGAAAATAACTACAAATTCGTCCTCTGATTAAAATATTGTGGCTTTTTAGGTGCTTATCGTGGTGGGAAATGAGCTTAGAGAACTTCCTACCAATCTTTTTGGTCCGAATCGTGACATGCTTTCCCTTCGGGAGTTGGACCTTCGTCAAAATGGGATTGAACTCATTCGAGGCAAAACCTTCCATCACACCCCCCACTTGGAAACCTTGATTCTCAATTACAACAAAATTGGTGGCGACGTGCTTATCGAACACCCCAGAATATTTTCAAGCCTTACCTCCCTAAAGTATCTCCACCTCACGGGAGCGTTTCACACGGACCAGTGGTACGAAGATAACATTGACCGAGGACTTGATGACTCATCGCCAAAATCGTCAAAATCAGCATTTCTCTGCTCTGGGAATTTACTTCAAAATTCTGAACGACAAATTTGTAGAGCAGGTAGTTAGTTGCCAATTCAAAAAATCCAGATATTCGCAGTGTTTGAAGAAGGAGTCAGGACATCCCACAGAAAAATTGGAACTCATCAAAACTGGCCGCAATTCACCGCAATTCTATTAATTTGCTGCTCTACTGTCGTCCAGAATTTTATAATAAATTCCCAGACCCGAGAAATGATTACAAATGTGCTGATTTTAGCGATGAGTCATGAAGTCTTACGTTAAATAATTTGCATACATATTTACAAAACTTTCTCCTTCTATGAATGAAAAATTATGCATTTTTTTCTATAGGACGCTGCTGAACGGGCTGACTGAAATGTTTGCAGAATCAAATCTCACCCACCTGCTGAAACTACATCTCGAGCAGAACCATATATCCAGGATCCCGAACCCCCTCCAGTTCTGCGACCTGCCCTCCCTCCTCGACCTCCATCTCGGGCAGAACGAGTTGACGGATTTGGTCCTGGACGTGGAAGCGTGTCTCTCCTCCCTCCGATTCGTGGACCTCAGTTACAACAAAATTCGAGAGATTTCCGCCACCTCGGGACTCTTCGCCCTCCTCAATCACAGGAACCAGATGGGCGTCGTCGTCCAACTCGAGCTTTATCACAACCCATTCCACTGCGATTGTGGTCTCGATCATTTTCTCCTCTGGATGAGAAATATGACTCTTAAAGATCCCGATATTTTTCGGTATGAAACAAATTCTTGAAAATATATTGGCTGATTATTTAGTTTCGTTTCTTGTGGGTTTGCTACATTTTTTGCACTTCGAATGGAAAAAAACGCAAGAAATGCCAGAAAGTTCAAGAAATATACGCCATGAATTATAGGGGCGGGGCGTAGTTTTCATTTCTTGCGATCCAAATTGCTGCAGGAAACCACTTTTTGTCGTTATTTCTTGCAAGTGATCAAATTTCACCGGAAACACTGGTTAATTAATTAATTTGTAATTGCAGCCATCGGACCGAAATGCGTTGCTTAACCGGATATCCAACCAGCAACGCGAAGCGAATGTTGCAAGACGTTGATCACACGGAATGTGCCCCACCACCAGTGACCATGACGAACACGGTGATCAATCGTCTCTCGTGGAGTGTCGTGTCCCTCATCGGTCTCGTCGTGCTGATAAGTTTATCCGTGGCGTGGGTCAGGTTGCGTGGCGTGCCTTCGTGCCTGCGCGGAAGTCTGATTTCTGCCGGGAATAACCACCCGCTCCTTGCCACGACCACCAGCGGGGTTAAGTACACGTCCGTCGATAAGGAAGAGGCTGCCGAGGTGGCGCACGTTTGAATTAATGAGTCAAGTTAATGAAAAACTTCCAGTTACACAAGTGCCAATTAATAAGCGGAAGTATTTATGAATACAAATTGTTCCTCTTCATCACTAGAGTGGCCATCAGTTATATTTTAATTCTTGATCAATCAATTACACAACTCAAGTATTATATTAACCAGTGGCCGCGGAAGCTGTGGGGACATCTGGGAACATTGACTTGGATGAGGGAAGGGGGATGGGGTCATTGTCCCCATGCTCCCGCGGTCACTGATATTAACCTTCTCTCTCTCGATACCATCAACCAACCAAACATATATTACTTAACCAAACCGAATGAGCGGCATATCAATTAGTAATTGACAATTACTTATCGACTACTTAACTTATTGCTGCCAGTAAAATACACAAATATATTTAGTACTAATACATACATAATTATTTTACGTAAAAATTACCCATGTTCATATACAAAAGTATAAAAAGTGTTTATAAGTAATAGATAATTGTTGTTACTTGAAATATACATAATGAGGGAACTCACGTCAACGTTTGTAACCTTCGTAACTGCGTAAGGTTTGTAAGCTTACAAACTTTTACGAACTTTTACACACATTTCTAAGGAAAATTGACTTACGAACTTTTACGAATCTTACGCACTTCAAACGCATGTTTTTGGTTCGTAAATAATTCGAGTTTGATATTTACATTTCCTATTGAAATTGTCTTAGAGACGAATTGTCAATTGTAAATTTTTTGTGATCTCGTCCCATCAACATGCAAATTAATTTAATTATTTTACAAAAGATTGCTGCCAGCCGAAAATATTTGTCGCTATCCGACCAGCCCCCAAATGTCAAATCTGGGTTAAATTGACACACTTCATCCAGAGGGGTATCAATCGATCGGTCTTGATCATACGATCATTTTGGTATATTATAGAATTTTGTGACATAAGAAATAGCTATGTAATTCCTGAAAACCTGATATTTTAGGCAAAAAAATTCAAAAATAATTACATTTCATTTGGTGTACGCTAGGATAAAGTTGGCTAGCAACATTTTGATGATGTTTTATATACGATATTTTGATTTTACTAAAAAATGTTTACGAAAATGTTTACAAAGTCAACTCACGTCAAGAGTGTGTAAGCTTACAAACCTAACGCAGTTACGTAGGTTACGAACTTGACGTGAAATCCCTCAATATATATCTGAGAAGAGAAAGTACACTAACTAATTAATTACACGTCAAGAATGTCTTTTAATGTCAAAATCCAACCGGGAGGTCACACGTATGTCATGGTATCAACTTGTTAAACTAATTTAACATAGAATCCTAATTAATTATCGTAATTAAGCAGTTATTTAAGATACAGGAGAGAAAGACGCAAACTTGGCTCAAGAGAAGGCATATTATACAGTTATTAATAATTGTTATTCTCATGTCAATATCATCATCGTCATCACATGGGCAGTACGAGCAAGGAGTCATTATTATTATCCTTGTCGCGATCTGGGGGGTTCGTGCGCGGGGGTCGAGTGGGGGGAACAATTTCTTCTGTGGTTGTCGTCGCGGTGGCATTATTTTTCGTGACAATTGTTTGTTGCTCTTGTGGTGGTGATTTATTCTCTGAGGTTGTTGTCGTCGCGGTGGCATCATTATTTGGGACCATTATTTGTCGTGGTGGTGCCGTTTTATTCGCCAAGGGTCGAATGGCTTCCAAAGTTTCTTCCAGGACGCACATTTGCTTCGTCCTTTGTTCCAAGAGGGCCATAAATTCTTCCAATTTATGACTGTGAAAGCTTTCCGCCTTGTCCAACTTCTTGCTCAGTTCTTCCACCTCCTTCCCCCAACCGCGACTTATCATCATTTGCGTTCTCAGCAGGGCACGCGTTTTGTCCAACTCGTCACGAACCTGGAAAAATATTGCATTTCAAATTACGCTCAAGATAGTAATGCTTTTTTCTGCTACGCATACATACTTGAACCAATTGCCATTGGGTTTGGCCAAGCTCTTCTTCTACGGTCTTGGCACGAAGAATGACCTCTTCACTGATGCTGCGTTTCTCTCGGTCTGCCTCGCTGGCTGCCAATTTTGCGCTCATTTCGGCAAGCTCTCCTTCCAACTTTGCCACTTTCTCTTCGAGCGTGACATTCTTGGTCTTTGCTTCTCGTAAAGCTTCGCTCAGCTCGGATTTTGCGCCCACTTCGGTTTTCAACCTCCCCTCCAATTCGGTCAGTTGCCTCTGTAAATCAAATATTAGTTAGCAAATCATGCACCATCGCATTTGCAGGATACAATTTTGCTGAATTTCTGGGACGCAATGTCCCCCTTCTTCTTCAACTATTTTACTACCTTGAGGTCAACACATTCTTCTTCCGCCCTTTGTCCAGCTGAACGACTGCCTCCCGCCCCCAGAGAAATACCGGACAAGCTCTTCTCCACTAAGGATTCGTGACTCTCTTTCAGTATCCGATTCTCCTCGACGAGTCCGCCCACCGCCATTTCGACCTCCTTCAGTCTGCCCACTTCCCGCACAACTTCCTCCAACTTCTTCCCCAGACTGAGGCCCTTTTCCTGCTCCTCCCTCAGTTCCCCCTCCACCTTCCGTAAATCTTCCTCCACGCGACCTTTGTCCTCCACACCGCGCCCAACTTCCTCCTCCAGTCGACCCACTTTCCCCTCCAGCACGCCCACCCAGCCACCCAAACGACGCGCCTCCCGCTCTGCTCGAATCAGCGAGACACGCTCGCCGTGACCTCGCTCGACCTCTGCCCGCATCCGCTCCACTTCCTCTTCTGCGACCCGAAGGGCGGATAAGGTTCGTTCCGCTTCCAGTTGAAAGTGGGTGAGGCGTTCCCTGCTGAGACGGAGTTGGTCTTCTAACGCCGCGTTCTCACTTTTCGCCTCCAACAGCAAGCTTTCCACGCGTGAAGTGAACTCGGAGTCTTCGAGCAGAGTGAGGTGACTGCTTCGAGGTCGAGGCGTTGTGGTGGTGCTGGAGAGACGACCCTTTTTAGTCACGGTGGCGGAGTCCTGCTTCTTTGGGGGTGATCCGCCACCAGACGACCAACGAGTCCGACCTCGGGAACCTTCAAAAGGTCAATAATTTATAATCGTTACTGGTGAATATTGAAATTGAGTTGATTAAAAATGGTCAGGTTTGGTAAGGACAGATAACTTACTGGCTGATGGGGTTGGAGGTAAGTGGTGTAAATGGTGGTGGTGATGGGAGGTATTTGACGGGGTTGGGATAAGCTTGGTCACGGACGCTAATTGTTCGCGACTCACGCTTAACTTGTCCCTAAGATTGGACACGATTCCCTCCAACTCGGCTAATCTGCCCTTCTGCTCCTCAATCAACATTTCGTCCCGTTTCTCCTAATAATGAGATATGTTAGTTAATGAGTGACCTCGGGAGTACAATTGCAAAGTCTCTCACCTTGCTTTTCCTCTCACCCACAACTCGGACAAGTTTTGTGGCCAGAAGCTTAATCTTCTCCTCCTGCTTGCGGAGATGGCGTCGAAGTAACAGGTTTTCATCTGCCACGCCATCCCCACTGCTGACCCGATTGCTCCCTGGAACAAACACAAAAATAATTTCATAATGCGAGCAGAACGACCGTCAAAGTTAAAAAAATCTAACTTTTAGTTTTGATCGTTTTTGACGTAGTTTCGGGGGGGGGGGTATCAGAAACCATCATTTCAACATACACCGACCTGGTGACTGAGTAAACGAGGTCAAAGGTCATACGGAATATGTCGAAACTTAAAAAATGTCAAATTTCCCTAGCAAATGATGCACCTCGAATACACATCTTATTCACTCAATTTCAGTTAGTTTGTTACAAGTGCAACTGTAATTTACATAATTAACTTCTTACGATTTTCGCCCTGTTTCTTGGACCAATTTCTTCCTCCTCGAGTGGACGCAGTTTCTGCATTGTTCTCATCCTGCTCAACCGTTCGGCGTGATTTCCTCCCACCGCCGCCGCCGACCCCGTCACTCAGGTCGCTCATCACTCACTCACTAACACTCTTGTCAAAATTTCGTTCTGGTCTTCCACTTGCTGCTACTTTCAGATTCACAACAATATTATGTAAATTCTGCATGTACTGAAGTATGTAAGCAATGGGGAAGGGGAGAATTTGCATCTTTAGGAACAGAGCAAAGGGGACGGAGCGTTGCATGGAAACGTATCGCACAACAAGAACCTTCGTACGAAACCAAGATTCCTACCTTTAGTCACATTTCACCTACAATTTTAACATTAAAGAAGCATTTGAAGTTCTGGACGCATAAAGGAGTGACGCTATATTTACAAACGATATGAGAAATCGTTTGCATAATAAAGCTAAAAGATGACTGGGTTTTCAAACCTATAAAAATTTATTGCCTTAAATTGAGCAAATAAGTTAGTAATTAGCTAATTATATGAATAAATAATTACTTAATTAGCACATAAACAGCAGTAATATTACGTGTAATGATCACGACTGCTTGAATTTTAGTTAACAATGTCATATAAAATACATATATAGTGTATCAAATAATTTCATAAATTGGGCATAAAATGTTAACAAATTATAATTGTTGCTCCATTTAAATCAATCTCTTAAACAATTTGCAATTTGATTAAATAAATGTGGTTTTAATGTAATCGATAAACGCCGATAAGATTTTTTGCGTGATTTTGTAACGCAATTTATTTGGGAAAGGCGAGACTTTCCGGAGCGGATTGCAAGAATTTGAATTTTAAAAGAGTAGAAAATGTGCCATGTTTTTTAAGTTGCATTAAATTAAAGTTTAATTTAATTACTAAATTGTATTAATTGGGTAGAATAGTCTTACGTGAAGGCAGTTGACGGTGTAGGACAGGGTTTTTATGTGGATTGAAACTTATTAACTGATCAGGTTAATAATGTTCTCCATCTCAAAACTAGTCACCGGCTTATCTCGGGTTGTCCACATATCGCCACCCCCAAATACCCTCTTACTCGAAACTTCGATAAGGTTGGAAGCGTCCTCACTCCTTGTACCTTCAAAGGGCACCGTGCGATACAGATATTTTGAGGACAAGCCAAAAGTTCTAATGAGAAAGTATGGATACAAAGATAAGGTTAGTTAATTAATCTTGTAAATGCAAAAAATATATAAATTACTAAGCTATATTGGATGTGGCTTTCTTATAGATGGATTTCAAAGGACCCCTTCCACGAATTCCAACCGGAATGCCACTTCCAATGCCGCTCTACCAACCTAAAAAGAATTGGACCGAGAAAAAAGCCTTGTTCGGACAAAATGACTATATCGACATTCTCGGCGATCAGGAAGGACTGAAACCCATCATGTTCCAGACACATATTCCCCAGTGGTTAAAAGGATTTCATGGGAATGAGTTCCAGGTGCGTTAAAATTTTTGCATATAAATTAATTTGATCGCAATGTAAACTTTAATTTCTTTCATGACGCAGATGTTAATTCGGAAACATAAAATGCTCGGAAATCGCGTTGCTTCTCGTCCCCAGGAATGGCACAATCTCAGAAAGAGGATAAAATATTTGTACAGATTTCTTAACTATAATACCAAGAGCTTTATGGATAAGAAAGTTCTCCGTAGATGATTGTATCGTGTAACGTCAATTTCGGTTTTATACATACAGTTATTTATGCAGTAGTCAAAAAATGAATAACAAAATCATAGCGTAATATTCTCAATGTCGTTATTAGTATAAAAATTGACTGTATTATTATTATTATTCATAAATTTCATAAGAAATATATTCTTCTTTCGATTCTAGAAGTTATCACATTCAGCGCTGAAATCACAACATAACATTTATCCGATAATTTATATTTGTTCAGGCGTACAAAATCAGAACAAGCTTTTCTTCACCGACGGAAACTATAGCATAGTTTATTTTATATGTAATTTCCATTATAAAAAATATGTAGGATGGATAAGCTCGTGCAGGGAAAAACAAACAAACAAACAAACCAGACCGGAAGTCAGACGGAAATATTTTCCAATAAAACGATCACATTTCGACCGACGGAGTAATAAGGTACACAAGAAGATACTTAAGATTAAGAGATGATCATGATGTATTTAGAGGCAGTTTTCATATTCAAGGAGGAGAATGATTTTTTAACGACTACGATTACCACCCTGACCCGGAGTAGGAATGGCTGACCTTGGCCCCACCTTGATCATACGAGTAGGCAAAGGTCAAAGGGTTTTGTTTCTTTCCGGAAACTGGCACTGCGACCGCTGCTGCGGCCGCGACAGGTTGCGCAAGATGGTGATGAGGTCCGTAAACTGCGGCCGGTTGAGGGGCCACGACTGGAACGGCAACTTGGGCGTGTTGATGTTGCACTTGGACGACTGGTGCGGCTGGAGGGGGAATATATTTGGGGGCATAAACTTCTCGGTGGTATTGTTCAACGACGGGTTGCACGTGATGATGCTGCACAACTGGGACGGGTGCGGGTTGAACGGGGACAGCGATTTGTTGAGGTTGATGGTGGTACACTTCCTGAACTTGTTGTACTTGTGGTTGCACTTGGATCGGGGCGGCGACGGCATGTTGAGTCAAGACTTTGTTAAATTGACGGGAAGAGGTGACTTGGAATCTACAGGAGAAAATAGCGAAATTAGATGGTGACTATGATTAAGGCGTCGTAATAACTAATTGTCAGTAACATGCATGTACCCCTGAGTCCCATAACTATGAAGGTATTGAGTTGGGCCCGAATTTCCCGTGTGAAATCCGACCGCTCCTGCGTACAGACCAAGTGGCGCTGCAGCCGTCACGACCTTTTGCGCTACTGGGACAGCCACGGCGGCAGGTTGGTGATGGATAAATTGCTGTGGTTGCTGGTGGTGGATTACTTGTTGGTGTTGAACGATGGGCTGTGCTTGTGGAACGTACTGAACTTGTGGGGCATACTGGACGATTTGTGGCGGTGGTGGTTGGGCGACGACATGCTCATGAACGACTTGTGGTGGTGGTGGAGGTGGTGGTCCAACCACGGAAACGTGCACCTTGACCGGCTTCTTCTCCACGACCGTCACCGCTGCTGGTTGCTCCTCAACGATGCCGATTGGCGTTCCCGGCGTGAAGTTGGGTGGTCCGTAAGTATGTTGTGGTTTGTTGGCGGAAGTGATCTTGATGGATTCTGGGTAGGTTGGACCAGTGTAGTCGGTGACCGTGTTGACTGGGGCGACGGAGTACGAGTCCTGCACGAGAGAGACGCTGGCCTTCTCGACAGACACGATTTCCGGTTGCAAGACCTTCTTGGGGGCGGAGACGAGGAGAGACGGCTTCTCCACGGCGATCACGGCAGGAGAGGGTTGCTCGTAGACGACTTCTTGTCGAGGAGGAAGATAAGTGGCGGTCACGCGTGGGGGAGGTGGGGGCAGATAAGTGGCGGTAACTCGTGGGGGAGGTGGTGGAAGATAGGTCGCAGTTACGCGTGGTGGAGGAAGATAAGTCTCACGAACTGGTTGAGCAACCTCTACGACTTCCTGTGGTGGTGGTGGAGGTGGTGGAAGATAAGTAGCGGTAACCTGTCGTGGTGGGGGTGGTGGAAGATAAGTAGCCGTAACTTGTGGTGGTGGTGGTGGAGGAAGATAAGTTTCCTGAACCACAGGTTGAGCCACTTGTTGATGATAAGTCACTTGTGGTGGTGGAAGATAAGCCTGTTGTTGGACAAACGCAGTGACTGGTGGCATGTACGCGGGGGCATATTCAACTCCTGCACATACATAAATTATTATCAATCATGGCATAAAAAACCCCCAATTTTGCACTTATCTACCTTGCGCCTGCGCAATAAGCTGGGGTGGAGGTGCGGGTCGCACCGGCGCGGGGACGACGAGTGGTCCAGCATTGGCAAAACTGGACGGAGCAGGCAACTGGAACGGTTGGACGTTCAGAGCTGGTGGTGGTCCGGTGAATTTGTCGACAATCTGAACCCTGCTGTCCTGCACGAAGGCAGGTGCATACGTTCCAACGGCCGCAGCAGTAGATCCATGGCTATGATAAACATGGGACCCTGCATGCGAATAGGTCACGGTGGGGTTGAAGCCTCGATCGTCCGCGGTATATTCCACCGTTCGAAGGGATCCGTTCGGATCCACGACGCTACATACAGAAAATTATTAATTGAAACGTCATCCAATCGTGGTTTTTTTCTCAAAAAAGTAAAAATTTCATGCTTTTCTCAAAACAAAACGACGACAGTTGTCTTGCGGTGAAAATAATGAAGTCGTCACTTCCTACAGACAAACCGTGACCAAGAAGGAAGATATCTCTTCCGGTGGTATTTTATTTACTAAAAAAGTAATTGAGCTGTTCTTCGCGATGACGTCATGTCATTTTGGATACCGCAATTTGTGCGACATTAAACAATGCGTGGTGGTGATGAATTGATGACGAGTAATTACAAGCCATTTACTGGCTGATCTTCCTTTTAGTTCGTGGCATTCATTTTATTATTGATCCATATTTAGCCAGATTATTGCGTAACAATAAGTCAAGTTCTACAATCATGGATCGTGTGGTATAGTTGGTCCTTTTATGTAAGTTGTGCTCTCCTTTTTTGCAATGTCATTGAGAACCGTTTAAAACTTAAAACCCGTCCACACGCACATCCATGACTCGTTTTTTTGTACTGCATTCATTAAACACACCTCACGCTGGTCGTCCTGCTAATTACCCAAAAAAGTGAGATCAACTCAACAACTGATGAAAACTGTGTGTGTGTAATCCTTGCCCCTCTTTTATTTATCTGCTGCTTCACGTAATGTGTACAAAATTTCATGAGATTTCATTCACTTTTGTTAACCTAGAATATCTGCTATTTATTTATGTACAATGGAGATTTCACAGCGTATGCTCTCAGATTTTGAGCAAACAATGTCAATCGATCACAGATGTAATTAATATGGCAAAAGATAAAGGTCATGTTTGGCAGAGATATTTGCATCCAAAGAGGAGAAAATGTGTCTTAAAGTTAACAAATTTTACACTTTCCAACTGCGCGTTTTCTCCTCTTCGGTTGCAAATATTTCTGCCAAACGTCCGCATTGGTAGATCGTGTCTTTTGCAAATTTCATATTAATACAATTTGCGATTGATTGACACTAGTTTGCTCAAAATCTGTGACCACAAGCTGGGAGACCTCCATCTTACTGGGCAACATTTTTTTTGTAAATTGGTACATATATACAAATTATACCCTTTTGTTAAGCCAAAATAAGGGTAAAATGTGTAACACAATTTTATTTCTTGCAAATTGGCATAAATTCTCTCAGCATACTAATTACTCAATTTGATGATATCATATTTTCCTAATGGAATCAATAATAAGTAATTGATTAAAAAGTTGTCTAGATTACTTGGTAATCAGCCAAACAAGAGGAAGAAAATATTCGTAAAGATTATGTTACACAAAAACTAGTGCACTGCATCTCTTATGCACTTTTACATATTTATGTTACGAAAATGCAGTACGTGTCCATTTACGAGGCCTCGTATGCCTTCGTAATACTTTTCTGAATGAGATCTGGTTATTTGATTTACAAACTTATCGACACTTGTCGTTCTGCAAAAGTTGATTCCTTTTATTAAAATTGGAATGAAAGGCAATCAACCAAAAGTTTGCGATGCATTAATCCATGCATAATGCAACATTATGCTAATGGCTTTATTATTCACGTAGTAATCTTTGTAGCATGGGTTGGGCTGTGCTTTAGTAGGGTCACCTCCTGAGAGAGGTGAGATTATTGAGCAGCACAGATCGAATCTAGAGATGACTTTGTGACTAAAAAGAGACGACACGATTTGATCGTTACCAATTACGCGATGGCCAAATGCTTCGTAAAGTGTAACACGTTTAATGAAAGGAAACCTTGTCTCGTGTCAATTATAATGACACCTTCGTCCATTAGGCGAGTGGATGAAATAATAATTTGCAATCAGCTCGATAAATTGGATCAGTCAAGAAACCCATTTCTTTCATTAGGCAGGAAGGATAAAGGACGTAAAAAATGGATGGATTTTTTGTATTAAAGCTTGTTTACAGTGGTGCGGGTTTGCTACATTTCTTGCACTGCAAAGGAAGAAATGCAAGAAATTCGAGGTGCAAAATATATGCGCCATGTAGCGACGCGCTTTATTAAATATTTATAGCGGCGGGAAGTCGTTTCTTGCGCTTTGCATTTCTTGCAGGTCAAAATAGTCGCAATTTTCATACCGTTATTTCAAGCGGTTACTTGCATCCGAAACACTGTTTGTTTACCAACAAGGAATAAATAGAAAGAAATGTGCAAAATTGTGCCATTTTTTCCCGACAAAATTTGTCCAAGTAAATACTTAAGATTGGAAAATAAGCTGCCGATTTTCTCCAAAAATAAATTACCTGTAGAATCCGACCGCATCTGGTCCCTTTCTCGTTTCCGCTTTTTCCTGATAATTCGCATGAGCGGCGTCGTCGATTTTCACGTGGTAGGAATAGTTCGGATTCGCCCCGTGCACCACTCCCACCGTGACACAAGAAAGCACTAACAAAAAACACGGTCTCAGTCCCATCTTGGCAATGTCGCGATCGTATTCTATGTCTTATCTTATGCTTCTATTATCTTATTACTGTTCTTATCGCCGTCGTCCCTCGTCACAGGACGGATGAGTGGATACGAATGGGGAAGGGCTCCACTCCTTGGGACACCTTTATATAGTTTGACCACCACCAACGCCACCAAAATGTGACGACGATGACTAGATGATGATGATGATGGCCTGACTCACGGTCAACATAAACTAACTTTTGCCGATGACGACTCGACTTTACGTACGAACGGCAATAAGTTTGATCGTGGAGGGTGGAGTCCTTTCTTCCATCCCTTTGTTTGGGTTTCTTGGCGTGCCTTCCATTTTCTGCGTGTATGCACAATGTTCGTCTGAAATACTTGTCTCTCACACCATCACTGCCGCCACCACACCACGCACACGCCGGTTACATGTTTAAATGACAGCGAATCCACAAACACAGTGGCCGCGGAAGGGTGTGGACAATGTCCCCACGGTTATCCGATGTCCCCATCATCTGCCCATGTTATATAAACCCGGCCCTCCCCTATCCTACAATGTTAACGTCCCCAGATGTCCCCACGGCTTCCGCGGCCACTGCACGAACGTATTACTCCTCTGACTGATGAGTTACATAATAAATGCATAAGTATGAGAGGAACGATCTACGACTCTGAATGATTCGAAAAATAAGATCGCACACATAGTTATTCTCTCGATAACATCTTATCTCCTCGCATCTTAACAACTTACATGAAGGGATGTGATACTTACTTGTGTCATTCTCGCTTTTATTCGCTTATCACGGTGTGAATTATGTGAGGATGTAGTTACAAAAAAGGTTTAATTACCGTAAAAAATGTATCATTACTTTTTAATTAAAATGTAAGACACAGCAAAATGCCGCTTATTCCATGGTCGCGTTTAATCGATGGACGAATTTGGAGGTAAATAATAAATTACATAAATTAAATCCTTAACGCGACAACGACTCGTGTTTATTTTTATTTGGATTGATCGTGGAGTGTGAATTGGATTGGATTCGATTGTTGGCTAAGATTACGCTTATTGGATTGGATCTCATCGACAGTGACTGCTTCCGTTTAAGGGAGGTGCATTTTTTGAGTCGTTGTTTGTCTCTGATTTTTATTATGTTTTTCATTTCAACTCCATTTTATGACCGCCATGCCACTGCCCCACTTTTCAATATTATTTGGTGAAAAAAATCATGATGAGTACTTATGATGACGCCTTAAGGATGTGTATGGATGGCTCGACCTCTACAACTTTTTAAGGTATCCGACGAGACCAACGACGACACCAACAAGGATTGAGTTACGTACACAAATTTCTTATCAGTGTTTCGTTTTGGACGTTCAAAATTACCGTTCAGAAGCGTCCAAATCTGTGCAAATAATTTTGGATGTCCAAAGCGTTCAACGTTGAAAAATGGGGTAAAATGTTACAAGTTCTTTACTAACGAGTTTTTTTGCAAATCTATGCAAAAATATGTAATCTGTCTTAAATTTTGAGCATTTTAGTGGATGACCATGAAATTTTGAAAAACTTTTCTCATGAGAAATTAGGAAATTTTCTAAACCATGCGAAATGCTCAAAATTAATGGGAAGTTAATAATGACGAACTTGTAAAATTTTGCCCCACTTTCTTTTTTGAACACTTTTGGACATTTTGGACGCCCAAAATTGTTCTCTAAAACTGTTTAAAACCGGTTTTGGACAATGATTATGACCACAGCGAAACCCTGTTTTTTAATACATTCCACACTTAACAAGACTTTAACTAATTATTGGAATGTCTTTTTTACTACGTATGTACTCGTCACCTAATTATTTTACATGCATGCAAATCAGTATCGTTTTCATCTGTATGTAGATGTGGGTTTTGCGAATAGTGCATCAATTTAATTTATTCCTTACTACGAGCGAGGAGCGATGATATTATTGTTATGAAGGTAGGTTATGTAACTACTTCTGTGGGGATGCATTTCCCTGTCAATCCTGCATGCGAAACAAGATTGACTGAAGTGAGATGTGCTCCAATTTCTGCAGCAGAGAGACAATAAGTCCTCTAAGCAGAGCGAGATTAATAATTTGTTGCCATTTATGCCATAGCAAGAAATATTATGTTTATGTAGCTGCAGGCCCTTGAGATTTATTACTCAACACGAAACTGACTGAATGAAAAACCAGACCAAATTTTGTTGACATGTTGGATTGGATTATTAGTATCAGTGCGTGTCCTCAGAGCTCGTCTTGTCAGCCGAGATGTTTTATGAGCAAATAAGCATTATTAGAGATACTTACAAGGGAGGTCTCCCAGCGGATGCTCGCAGATTTTGAGCAAAACAGTGTGAATCGATTGCAAATTTAGTTAATATGAAATTTGGAAAAGGCATGATCTCCCAATGGGAACGTTTGGGAGAGATATTTGCATCCGAAGAGAAAATTGGCCCCAAAGTTTACAAATTTTACACTTTCCAAATCTCGTTTTCTCCTCTTCGGATGCAAATATATCTGCCAAACGTGACCATTGAGAGATCGTGTCTTTTGCAAATTTCATACTAATCAAATTTGCGATCGATTCATACTAATTTGCCCAAAATCGGAGAGCATACGCTGGGAAACCTCCATTGTGAGATGCATTACATACATACCTGAGACCGATTTGAATTATTATTGGGTCGACGTTTACTCAGCGTAGGGAGTGATTTAGTGTAAATAAAGGTGTATATGTAAATGATTTATGACCACATTACAATCTCGCAAAGTAATTATGTATCCTTCATTCAGATTTATTTGTGAAATTTTCTTCATTATTTTGCTACATATTTTGTCACATGGATTAAAAATTGACTGACTGACTAGCTAACTACTTTTTTGAATGATTTGTTTTTCATATTGATAAAAGACGGAGAGTAATTGTAATTATCGCCACCAAATATGACAGACATTATTATTATTGCAATTAAACAGCGACGCAACAATGAGACGAGGCAAGTTGAGACGGGTAAAATGAGACTAGTAAAAAACTATCGACTAATAAAATTATTAAGACCTATCCTGCAAACATGTTGTGAAACATGTGGGCGAATTTGGGCGAAATGACGCGGTCTCCTCCAGAAGAAACGTTCTTTGTGGAATTTTGTTGTGTCGAATTTTGGGGGATTAATTGCGGCGACAAACTATTGTCGGAGCGGCGTTGGTTGTTCTTTAAGTCGTCCTCGGACGAGGAATCGGTGGTGGTGTTAAGGTGCTTATCGAGAGGGATGAACTGGACGTGTTCCACGACGAGGACGGGGACGGATCTCTTGGTCGCGTTCTTCGTTTGGTCTTCTTGAGCGGAGGAGGCGTTCTTGGCTTGTCCGGCGGTAGAGTTCATGTTCTTATCATCGGTCGGGTGATGGCGGACGAATCTTTGTGTCCCGTTCTTGTCTTGGTCTTCGTGAGGGGAGGAGGCGTTCTTGGCTTGGTCGGCGAGAGGGCTGTTTTTAGTGTCGGATAAGTGACTGCGGGCGGGTCTTTTGATGGCGTCCTTGCCTTGGTCTAGTTGAGTACCGTTCTTCCCGGCCGTGCTATTATTCATTTTCTTTTGAAAAATTGCCTTGTCCAGAAGTGCTCTGTGAAGAGGGCAAAAACAAATTTTATGCAAATTTGGTTAATCTACATATTTTAGGGTTTTTTGCTAACCTGGCTTGTCTCAAGAAGTCTTCATCATCATCGTCAACGTCGCCATCCTTGTCCACGTCGACTCCTTCAACGTCAGAGTCGTCGACAGGGCCGGTCTTCGAGGAGGGCGAGTCGTCTAATTTTTGTTTACTGCCACTGTTGACGCCTCGGAATTGTCTGTTCTTGAAGAACGGTCCGTCCTGCTGGTTTGGTGGGGGTGGGTGTTGCGCAATGGGACGAAGAACGGGACCATTCTTGTCGCATGGCTTGGTAGGGTTGAGGTGGATTGGCTGTTGGTAGCGTGGCGGTGGGGGTAACACTTTTCCGTGGGGAACTGGAACTGTGAAATATTGGACAATTAGCTTATAATTATATAATTGATTAGAATTAATTACATATTGAGAGTTGAGGTTGAACTTCTTACTTAATTCGTGCTGCCTCTGGTCCTGAAATTCTCCCTGAAAGTGAGGATCCTGTTTGTGGTCGAATCTGCCATTCCCATTGTCGAAATTAACCCCGAGACCCTTCGAGGCGGCGATGGATCCGTCCGCGTCTGAAATTAACGAGTCAATTAAACAATATTTATATGTATGCTTTTAATAATTACACAATTAATTAATTAACTTACTGAATCCGATCGAGTCTCCCAGTCCAGCACCGATATGTCCCGACCCAGCCAGAGAACCACTCCCCCCAATCTCATTGTGCTGAGGCTCCGATTTATCAAGGAACGGGTCTAGAAAGTCTAAAATTCCGAACGTACCGCTTGGCAAGAAAATAACTACGAGCAGCACCACGCCCAATTGGACTCCTGCCCTCCCACTACTAAATCCTGACCTGGATTTCATTATGGTAAATTACGTGACTTTGAAAAGCTACAATTTTTCACTAAAATCAAAAAATTTCTGGTTCGTTCGCGTCCGTCTATTTGGCGACTGGAAGGCAGATTTCGGATCAGACGCGTATTTATCACTTCGCATCGTTTGCATAATTGTGACGCTATAATCTCCAATGAGAGTTCATCTCATCCCGATTTTCATAATATTCACTAATTTTGCAAATTGTAATTCTTGCCCAGACAGGAATTTGTAGCAAAAAGGCAAATCTCAAAGCGAACGACATTTATCATACGTGTCTCGAGTCGCATTGCAGTAGAATTATGTATGTACATATTTTATTTGCATAAATCTGAATCTCCTTATTCGTTGCATTCGCAAATTTGCAAATTCACTGCAAATTCTCCAATTAACCTATTTCGCATGTTGATTTATTTCTGACTCAATCCAGCCATACGTAAATACAAAACCCAAACCAATTTTCTTTGGCCAAGAAGATGAATAATATGATATGAAAAGTGAAACCGCCTAAAATGCTACCTTCACCTTGTTGTCGAAATAAAAATACATAAATTGCACTTCATGCTCCCATTTTACAATTTGCCAAACAATGCAAATTCCTAAACTCGAAAATGGTTGTAATGGATGATCGTTATGTGAAATTAATTAAATTATTAAAAGTTTTCCGTAATTTATTACTTTACCGAACCAATTTTACATGATATGCACAATAATAAATAAATACTTGTAATAATATTTTAGTTTTTAAGGACATTTTATGCAGCCCCAATGTAGCTGTACAGCCTGTCCGTCCGTCCGTCTGTATTTAACATAACCTGGGAATGCATTTATTTATGTATAGATTTGGCGAAAAAAATTGCCACGAAATTATTTATGACTAATTTATATATGACGTAATAATTTTGAGCAAAAAAAACATCACAATCATAGAATTTTCTATGATAAGAAGATGACAAATATTCGTACATACATAACCCGAGTAAAAATTTGAACGGCGTTCGTATGTACAAAATTTGGTCCGATTTCCTCCAGAAAAATTTTGCGCATAAAACTAGGCGCAGAATTATGTACATAGATAGGTTTCTGCAGAATAAAACTCATACAATGTAAATTTTCTGCAGGATTATGTAAAAAAAATTATGCAGATTATATGCGTCGAGCTTTTGCCAATCCCTGCAGAATTCGACGCAGTGATTCTACTCAGAAATTCTGGCTCGGGCTCAAGTAAGCTGCACTTTTGGGTGATAATATCAAAAACTGAGTCAATAACCAACATCTCAAGTTGTTACATAAAAGTGATAGGATAAGTGGTCTCTAGTGCATACATATTGTTTGGTTTAGATTTTGGGTGGTTTGCTCGCGTTGGAAAGAAGTGAAGGTAAAACTAGTCATAAATCTGCAGAAAGACAAGAAATAAAGTGGACGACTGTGTGAGATAAGGACGCGATCGCGATGTTGGACTCGTTGTTGGACATGATGTAGCGAAGGGAAGGATGTGACGTGAAGGCGATTATTCAATTATTTTTTCATGTCGTTACACATTTTCCAATCCAACATGTTATCTCGCAAATAAGAATAATGCATCGTAATAAAACGGCAATAAAAATCTGCACCAATTCGGAATTGCGAGATATTTCGCAATGTCGCATTTTTGGCACATTATCCAGTTTTTGTGTGCAATGAAATGATGAACCAATTCATTAAAGGGTTGGTTTTTGTGGTGACTAATAAAAATGCGGCGAGATTATTACTATGATTATTATTGCTGTAATTTAGAGACGTGTGGCAAGTAAATGACATGCAGAACTAGATCAGACGGACAGATACATAAATAATATTATTTTATTGGTCTAATCGTGATGGGGACGGTGTCATTCTGTTAATTTGTGCATCTTCTTCTTCCTTCTTATTGCGCATCATAAATTAACGATCTGGTCGGAATTTCTAAGTATGATGGACTAAACTTTTACAATAATTAGTTCATTAATTAATTAATTAATTAATTAGGATGCATCGTTCATGGATATCTATCGCATCAATCCCAGTGCTTCGTTTCTTGCAGGTTTGCTACATTTCTGCACTGAAAAGCAAGAAACGCAAGAAATGCAAGGTACAAGAATTTGCAAAAAAGCAAAAAATATTCGCAAGAAATATTCGCCAACTTGCAAAGCGCCCTATGAATTCAGCGGTGGGACCTAGTTTCCTGCGCCTTGCATTTCTTGCAGGTCAAAATACCTGCCAAAAAATCACTTTCTTGCAGTTATTTCTTGCAACAAGTTCAATACTTGCACCAGAAACACTGATCAATCAATCCTACATTTACGCAATTTTAGATTTTTCATCTACCACAATCTCAAGTAAATCCGTCCCCACCCAAAAGATTGGAAGGCTGCGGCGTTAATATTTATCACGCAATTTGCGAACATTTAGTTGTCTATCTTTCTTTCTTACCTATTTTCTTTAATCTGCTTACATAAACTAAATACATACATAATCTTTAGCAAACCTTGTCCATGAATTATCATATTTTCATTTGTGCCGAGAGTTGACTGACATTGAGTCTCACTCGTTTTGATCTCTATAATTTTGTTTGTAAATGGACATGGATGGATGGTTTTGCCTTTCTTACGTATGCACATACATGGTCACTCACTAAGCAGTTGGACTAAATGCTGCAGATTAAAATAGGGATGGATTCGCTTACTCGACGAGTGAGTGACTTATTGATCTCAATGTCGCACACACAACATTATCACGTCACTCACTCACACGCGAGCACTAATTAAATTATTAATTACGCATCTCATTCCTAAACTGGATCATCAATGAAACGAAAAGCACACTTTTTGGGGTGACAAATTGCTGTGCGGATTTTAATAATGATAAGTCACACAAGGCGAGGAGATTATGTAGATGGGTGACTTGCGAGGGTCACATTATCACATTCTGCATAATATGCTAATTATAATTATGCATTTTAAGGTGTATTTAAATATGTGTATGCTGGATGTAACAAGAGATGCAATCAAGTGAATTATTGAGAATGCGAATAATGATGACATAACGATCATAATGAGTTCATTAGTATATACATTGAACTGAACTGAACTTGTGTCAAGAATCGAGATTGACATCGACATCGTCACCGTCACGATAATAATGTGTGCTTAATCGTCATCTAGATTTGTCACCCAATTCGCTGTCACTGTCACCAATGACCAAAAAACTAAATACTTTACACAAACAATTCCTGTTGTCGACTTGTTGACGCCACCCAATGATGCCTTCAGGTAATGGTATGTACATACGTACATATTTGCATATATGTATGCACATACATAAATGTTGGGTATTATTGGATTGGGATTTTACATGAGGTCAAGTTTGTGTCACACACAAATTAACAATGTCGAATATTTGAGGTAGATTATTGGTCACAATCGTTCTGAATCATCGTCAGATCGTATTTTTTCCAAGAAATTAAAAGTTGGCAAGTTCATCCAAAATTATGTAAATAAACGTTGATTGAATCATTATTTAATTGGATATGTATGGATGGATGAATAGATGGAAAGGTGAAACATTGGGTTTTATAAGTGAGAGAGATATTTGCATTTTTTGGTAATGTGTGTGTGATGTGGTTGTGATGAAAGGCTGAACGGTAACGTGTAGGTTGTGCATACGTTGGCGAAATTAAATGCATAATTTACTTAATGTGCAAACCAACTAAACTATACACGTTTAGTAAGGGTACATTTGTATACAGTTTTTGGTGAAGTAAGTGATACCAATAATTTGGAAATTATTGAATATCATCAACTTTTCTGAGACACAATAATTGTTTTCATTTTGTAATTAATATGCATATTGGACATTATTATATTTTAATTGCGGATCGACTTTTACGCGTTGAATATGAATTAATTAATTACAAGTTGGCTCCTCGTAGTGTGGACTGCGGAGTGCATACTTAAATGATAAATTTGTGTTATTAAACTTATAGGAATAAGTGTACATACAATTATACACATTTTAGTAGAAAATGCTCCCTTTTGTGTAGAAATAACCTCCAGTCAGTGTACCTTCGCAGAGCCCGAGACAGGTTAAATTTACGTCATATTTGTAAATCTGATGCACCTACTCATAATTAGTGACAAATTTCCGCTCAATGTTTCGGGTGCAAGTACTAACCGTTTGCAAGAAATACAAGCAAAAAAGTGATTTTTTGCAGCTATGTTGACCTGCAAGAAATTCAAGGTGCTAGAAGCTACGCCCCGCCGTTATACTTCATAGGGCGCGTGGCTAGAAAGCACATATTTCTCCCACTTTCTTGCAGTTTCTTGCACCTCGCATGTTTTGCGTTTCTTGCTTTCCAATGCAAGAAATATAGCAAACCCGCAAGAAACGAAACACTATTTCAGCTTTCTACTACCATTCTTATTAAATCAGTGGGGGTCACACTACCTTCGAACTTAACTCCTCATTTCCCCCGTGGATATAACATATGCTTTAAATTATAAGTCAATAGGATATGTTATATCAAGACGGACGGATGGACAGACAGGCACGATAAGTACATAAGCCCTGACTCGGAATTAAACAAAAGTGAGAAATAGGGATTCGTGATTGTAAGCCTTGCTACATTATTTCCGAGTAGAATGAAACATAAAAATAAAGGTCTCATTATTTCAGGAAGAGTAGAATGCGTGTGTTTTCACCTCAGTTTCACCTCCTGGAGAGATTTTGTCTCTTTAATAGTCACACTTTCGTTTCATTTCCACATTTTGAGGTATTCTTCGCCTCCCTCCATTATCCTCTGCCTCTATTGCATTTATTCTTCCCATTGCACCATTCCCATCCATTTATTCACTACCTGTGTGGCTGCTTTTTGTTCTGTTTTCACCTGAATTTTCATCCCGTGGTGGAAACTGTTCCGAGCCACCCACACACACGCAATATCTCTTGAAATATTGAAATATTTTGATTTTTAGTCCGGATTGGGGCTTGTCCAATCATCATGTCTGTCGCTGTCAAATGATTTCGACCACATTACAACGGGGGACTTCCAGCTTATGCTCTCGATTTTGAGCAAA